CAGTATTCTATAAACAACTCATTCAAATGAGTATGTTATGTCACAGATAATACTCCCTACAACTGTACAACAACTCACCCTTATGTCACAGATAATACTCCCTACAACTGTACAACAACTCACCCTCATGAAGCAGATAATACTCCCTACAACTGTACAACAACTCACCCTTATGTAACAGATAATACTCCCTACAACTGTACAACAACTCACCTTATGTAACAGATAATACCCTACAACTGTACAACAACTCACCCTTATGTCACAGATAATACTCCCTACAACTGTACAACAACTCACCCTTATGTCACAGATAATACTCCCTACAACTGTACAACAACTCACCCTTATGTCACAGATAATACTCCCTACAACTGTACAAACAACTCACCCTTATGTCACAGATAATACTCCCTACAACTGTACAACAACTCACCCTTATGTCACAGATAATACTCCCTACAACTGTACAACAACTCACCCTTATGTCACAGATAATACTCCCTACAACTGTACAACAACTCACCCTTATGTCACAGATAATACTCCCTACAACTGTACAACAACTCACCCTTATGTAACAGATAATACTCCCTACAACTGTACAACAACTCACCCTTATGTCACAGATAATACTCCCTACTGCCCTTTTGTTTAATTTATGTTGATTAAAGACGTCACAGTCGCATTAGACAAGTCAGATACTTCGAGTGTTTCAGCACAAGTGGAGTTTTCAACACCTGAATGTCAAAAATACAAACTACACACATAAAAACAAACAAAACACACGAGTGACACACAGCTAAGAAATAAACAACATTATTACATTTTCAGAGAGAGGATTTTTGGTTGGAAAAATACAAACATTTTATTTTACTTCTACTTGACTAAATCTGTTGTTCTGGTAGTAGATCTGTGTGTGCAGTTTATGGTCCTGGAAAATTCAGAATTCAGAGTTAAGACACCAACTAATAATTCAAGATGATTACATTTTCAAATTTAAATAAGCATTTTCAAATTTAAATAAGTTATGTTTCTGTGCAATTTAAAGTTTAAATTTAATTTCGATCTTTTACATGACTTTTTTTGGTAGTAGGTTAAAAATGTTATATTATCAGTGTTTTCTGCTGCATCTTCTTGAGTTGTAAGGAAAATGATCACGATCTACTGGCTGAAACCTCCCATATGGAAAAAAACTGAAAAAAATATAAGAATTTACCACTGTCTTTATAGTAAATCTTTATATAAGGTTAATATGTGCCATGTGTGGTTTACTCCTGAAAGTCGCCCCTTTTGCATTTTTCTCATACAACTATATTATGAAAAACTAGTAAAGATAAAGTGAACATTTTGCATGACATTTACAGGTAATGTGCATGATAAACTACATTTTCTTTGTATGTTCCATGTAATGTTTGTATTCTTTAATTATATGTTGCAGTTAAAAAAACAAAACAAAGTCTGAGTCAGAAGGGGGATTTGAACCCAGGTTTCTCATGTGACAGTCCAGTGACTTACCTGATAAACCAGCTGTTAGTAGTGGTGAGAACTATAGCAGGTGTAGAGGACAGTTACAAGTACTCTGGTATCACATAAGTAAATGGTTCTTCGAAGAGGCAACAAGGAAAGGGGCTACAGGATTTTGCAGAGTAAAAATCTTTTTACAGCCTGATGTATGTTCACTGTGATGTCAGTGGAAGAGTGTATGTCTTGTTTTTTAAGGTTGTAATGCAATATTTACATTACTGTGTTTACCCCCATGCTGCCCAACAACACACACACACACACACACACACACACACACACTGTGATAATTTTCTTTCTCACTCTCATACACACACAATACAGCAATCGAGTTTAAGGAAGCAAACATTGAGTGTGTTTACATGCACATCAATAACCAATATGATCGGGTTTTTTGAGTTTCCCGGTTTCTTCATGGTGCATGTAAACACAGTAACCTGGTTTCAGTGTCCTGGTTCTTAGAAACCAGGTTACTGTAGCTGGTTTATTCTGATAGTAACTGGGATACTGTGACATGTAAACACAGTTTCCCGGTTACTGCAACATAAAGTTGAGTCACATGTGTCCAAAAGACACTTTCCAGCCTTTCACCACAACAGTAGAGACATAAATAAATTGACCAACATAAATAAAGTGACCAACATAAATAAAGTGACCACACGAGTGAAATGACTAAAATAAAGACCTGCACATGTGCGACCTGCGCATGTGCGACCTGCACTCGTGCGACCTGCACTCGTGCGACCTGCACTCGTGCGACCTGCACTCGTGCGACCTGCACTCGTGCGACCTGCACTCGTGCGACCACTGAAAAGATAAGACATGAACTATCTCCTGTACAACACACACACAGAACAGACTCACCATCATCAGCACCTCTTCTGTCACAAAAACAACTCACATAATCCACAGAGTCGAGTCATTTAGTCCAAAAGAAACTGAATCACATCAGCGACACAAGGAGCAGATGTTTTTATCACCACTAACAGTTTATGCTAATTAGCCAAACGGTCTTAAGTTTCGTTTCTGTAAAACCTAAACAAATGTGATCAGAGCTGAATGATCTGATCAAACGGGCTGATGTGTCTATAGTGTTTATGGTTTATATGTTGTAAAGTTGAGTTTATTTATGCAGAAGATTTGAATGAAGAATCTGTTGGTTTGATGTGTGCAGTGGATTGTGGGAAATCTTGTAGCTTCTTAGCTTCTTATGCTAAAGGAGCTCACGGTTTGTATTTTTCCTGGTTTATGAAATTGATTTAAGTTAATTTTTGCACTTGCGCATTTGTAAGATTATGTCAAGAAACCGGGATACTTCATTTGATCATGTCCACGTGGATATGAGTGTCCTGGTTTCTCAGTGCGCATGTAAACACAGTAACCTGAACACTGACAGAACCGGGATATGGATAATAACCGGGTTATTGAATGACCTTTGTCCAACACTTGTGAGGACACTGTATGTGGGATTAGTGTCATATACAGGCCTTGTAGTTTACAAAGTTTAATATGTTTCATGCTGCACATATTTACCAAAGATCTTGTAACTGTTTTCAGTGTCATATACAAATCTTTTAGGATTCAGATAAAACATGTTAAAATGGTGTATGATTTATCTACACCTTTTCCATATGGGCTGAAACACCGACCACTGATCAGTGGAAATAAAAAATCTGACAAGTTTATACAATGGAACTGTTGACAGCTCAACTACAGCTCAAGGTGCCAACTTTTGAAAAGAAGTGAAGCCTAATTATTGACTTTTTCAAATAAGACACTTATGCCCTAACATTTTATTTAAATTGTTGTTGTTTTTTATTCATTTTTGCAATTTTTTTTTCTCTTTTCTTCTTCTAGAGGGGGGAAGAAAAAAAAAAAAGTAAATATATAAATTGTGTGAAGGCCCGGTCTCAGGACACTGTTGATGTGAATTGATTTGTCTGGCCACAGTTAAAACCAAAAACTACACCACAGCCCAGAGCGTCTACATCCTGGAAAAAACAGCAACAAAAAACCCCAAAACTACTCCTGAGACTTAAAAAAAATCACCACATAAACTGTGCAGAAACACATTCTCTCTGACAACAATCCAAGTGGCAGCTGGTCAATCAACTTAAAACTATGAACCGGACAAGAACAGCTGAGCAGAGTCCAGTTCTTAACTCTTTCCCCCTGGACGCCGACTAGGAACAACCCACACATATATGACTAGAACTGCCCTTAGAGCATCACTGCATAAAAGAAAACACACTTCCACCAGTGATTATAAATGATTTTTACACTCATGAACTTAATTGTAACACAGACATATTTGTATCTCTGGAAACTTTAGACTCTGAACTCTTCATTTCTGGATGTTTAAATGTGATTCAACTCATTTCCAGGTTTATAACAGCTCACTGAAAATGAGAGTTTACCTGGTCAGGTGCAAAATCCAAAACAAAAAAACTACATTCAGCATCTGATATCTGCAGGTTCTGAGTAATATATTCATAAAAAATTTAAAAATATACTTTGTCAAAGTATTTAAACAGATTTCATATCAGCAGATACAGTAAAGCCAAGTGTGCACCTGTTTTTACCTGTTGTTCACCTGTGTGCACCTAATTCATTTTTTCCATTTAACTTAATCAACTCATTTAGCTTATTATAATATAATAATATAATAATAAAACTCTTCCCCGTCAGTGGGAGTCCAGTATTTGTCTCATGTTCTCGTGCGCAGAGCTCCACATAAGTGTTTGTTTCTGTAGCAGTTCTGTCATACGTTGCATCTTAGAAAAAAAGACTGAAATATTTTAAAAGACTCGTCTGGGCAACATCAAGATTTCGGGGCAAGTTTAGTTCATAATCGAGTATAAAGCCTGGATAGTTTGTTTGGACATCGCAGGACTCCACACAGACGCATCAGCGACATTCTCATCTTTGTAAGTTTCACTCTCTGAAAGTCCGTCGCTGTCGCTGTTTTCCACTTTATAATCAACTTCATCATCACTTTTGAAATCTATAAAAGTCACTTTCTCTAAACTTATCTATAAAATACATCCACTCCTCATTATTTCTAAAACTGTGCGCCGCAGCGCCGCGATCCATTGCACGTGTTTTCGTGTTGTGTACTTGGATTAACTTCGGAAAAAATCGCCGAAAACATATCCTTGAATCCTATTGGTCAGTCTAGTGTGGGTTGTAGTGGCCCCCACCTAAAACAGTCTCTGTTTAAATGTGAAAAACCGAGCTGTTTCTAATGGTCGTCAAATCACGTCTTTATTGATACGGCGGAGGTGTCAAAAGACGTCATTAAGGAAACAAGGGGGTCGTCAAATGTCGTCTTCATGAGGGAAAGAGTTAAACTTCATGAGAGTAAAACCCGTCTGAAGCACGGGAGCAGCACAGTGAACCAAAACACACTGACAGAGATCGAGGACTTATAAGGAAAACAACACAGACGGCGAGATAAAGTAAAATAAGCAGCTTACATTGAGCATCTCCACCACAGTCTCGGCGAAGCCCACCACGTACATCGCCACGGCAACAGCATTCGCAAACGCAAAGATGAGACCGATGGAGCCTCCGAACTCTGGCCCCAGACTCCGGGAGATCAGGTAATACGCCCCTCCTGCGACGACAAACACACAAAACACACACAGACTAGAGCCAACTGTCGGTACGACGGCGTGGGCAGGTTTGATTTGTACCGGCGCAGAGTCACAGGAGAGATGCTGGTGCCAGGTTTTAGCTCAAATCACCAGTTGGCACCGGTACACGGCAGATTTCACTGATCTGGCCAAGATTTTAAAACTTCTATCAGGTTCTTCATCTTGTTTTCAGATTTATTATTATTATCTACTTTACTCGTACTTGTCATTTTTCATTTTCTGATAGATTTAAGTGTTTATTTCTTAAATTTTGGCCAAGCGTTTCTGCAGTGTAAATCCCTGAGTGAGCAGGTGGGAACGCTGAAACTTCAGATTCAATACTACTACTACTACTACTACTACTACTACTACTACTACTACTACTACTACTACTACTACTACTACTACTACTACTACTACTACTACTACTACTACTACTACTACTACTACTACTACTACTACTACTACTACTACTACTACTACTACTACTACTACTACTACTACTACTACTACTACTACTACTACTACCAAAGAATCAGGACAACAGCAGGACTCTGAACAGTCGTGTTAAAGGAGGCCGTCCTGTTGTATTTATACATTTATCAGTGTTGTGCAAGTTCACACTTTTCATGAACTAGTTCAAAGTTCAGTTCACACTTGTTCAAAGTGAATAGTTCACGTTCATAGTTCACAATTTTAATTTTGAACTAGTTCAAAGTTCAGTTCATTTTATATTTAGATGAGATCTGTAAATGAAAGGCTGCATTTATTTTTCAAACTGACTTCTAGTTTACAACAACTTTACAAGATCCACTGTTGGACAAGTGACTTTAAAACTGTAATGTTTTATTTATGACTTGTTACTGTCATTTCTAAGTCATTAGTTACATTTACAATATTACTGTGTTTAAAATGTAAAACATTACACGACTATTGCAGCACTTTTAATTTACTCTCACCAAAAGAACTGTTAAACCAGATGCTGAACTTTTAAACCGAACCGACTGAACCAGGACTACTGAACCAGGACTGAACCAGGACTAAACCAGGACTAAACCAGGACTGAACCAGGTCTAAACCAAGAACTGAACCAGGACTAAACCAGGAGACTAAACCAAGACTAAACCAGGACCAAACCAGGACTAATCCTGGACTAGAACTTGGAATCTAGGACCGCCCCTGAGAGAACCCCGAGTGCGATCGGGCGTCAGCTGCGTTTAGTTCGGTGGAGCGTGGACTTCTGCGTCGGTCCTTTCGCTCAGGATCACGGTCTACGCGGGCGAACCTCCGGCGTTTCACCGCTGCTGATATCGCGGTGATTTTAGCAAATTTGTATGAAGAAAAACGAAAAACCCACCATTTCAACCCAGGTTAAAAAAGCATTGTGACGCGCGTTACTGACATTATGTACCAAGTAAAATAATACACGTGCGGAGCAGCACGTCCTGTGCGTGTAGATTTCAGAAAATAGGATCCATCCTATTTTTTGACGCTCTACACGAGCGTAGGCGCGTATCCCCGTCAAAATCCACAGAGCATGTATCTGTTGTATTTGTGCATTTACCATCAGCACATTGTGCTCCCTGGGCAGTTGTGTATCATGTGAAAGAGCCCAGATCCACATACACTGTTCATTAGTGCTTTGAAATTTACTTTTGAAATCCTTGCGTTTGCCGTGGTGAGTCTGTACAGAAGGTAAATACAAGCAGCTAAACGCGCCCAGTCAAGTTTGATTGACTTTCCCATTGAGAGACACAAGAGCCCGTACGTTCCGTTAAAGCTGCCGGTGGAGTCGCCTTCGCGTTGACACGCGGCTGTGGTTTCGCGAGGTTAAGTGTGAGCAGATCGTCACTCGTCAGGTGAAAACAAATTCCGACGTTTAACTGAAGCCCAACAAGTGACGTACGTCGTTCATCACACATAATTTGAACAAATTCACGTTCAAGTTCTTGATTTACAAAAGTGTTGCGTTCAGTTCGAAGTTCAATGAACGCGCTCTTTTGAACTCGTTCATGCACAACACTGACATTTATATATTTATATTTTTACATTTACATATTTATATATTTAGTGCGTCTGACCTCCGCGGACGAATCCGTTGGTGGCGATGGCGGACGTGGACAGTCCGGTGATGGTGGTGACCAGAGTGGCCATGAAGATGATGGCGATGGTCAGACCTGGAACACAGAGAAGCCTCAATACAACAGAAGGACAACAGGAGCTCCAGGAAACACGATTTATCTGCAGTTTACCTTTATATAAATGTGAAAATACATTCTTTATCCACACTTTGCAGCTGATGTCATCAACATTCCTTGAGGGTGTGATGCTAACTGTAGGCACTGCTCTGTCTGAGACTTTATTAGACTTTAATTTAAGCTTTGTTTTAACACAATCAGACCATAAAGAACTGACTTGGTGATATGATCCGTGCTCTTAAACAAGTCTCTCTCAAATAACATTACAGTCACAAGCTTTTTTTTTTTTTTCTTGAGACTCGAGACAACGTTAAAACTTTGTTTGCAGTGTTTTCTAGCATGTGCATTGTGTCTCCATGGTAACTGCTGAACATCCCTCCGTAGACACACAGGCGTGGCGTCACCGCAGTATCATTACTGTGGGCACAGTCACTGGGGATGGACAGTAACCGAAGTATATCTGGTGATATCGTATCGTCAAAGTTCTCTCAATAATATCATGGACCATCACAATAAATCGAATCACAAGTGTCTTTGTTTAAATGAAGAGTTAAAAACACAGAGGAACTACATAGACCATGATCCTTTGCTCCATTTCAGCGCAGACGACAAGAAGAAATAACAGTTCTGACACTTTTAACTCTTAGTTCTTTGGGCTAAGTCTTGTCAAGGAATTTTAAGAGGAAAAAGTTGCATATTCACAGTTTTAGATATTTAGCCTCCACAAAATATCACAATAAATATCGTACCGTGAGATGTTTATTAGGGTTGTCCCGATCTGATCACGTGATCGGAAATCGGCTTTTGTCACCTCATTTGTATTTGGTAAGATTTTGTATTATTTGGATTTCATAGACACACACACACACACAGGCTTCTCTATAATATCAAATATACAAAGTAGAGCCCGACCGATATGGATTTTGTTGTGGCCGATATGAAACTGATATAATGGGAGTTGGAGCTGCCGATATAATCGCCGATATATTTAGTGATGTAAAAATTCACTGTAAATGTTTAATTGTTTAAAAAACTTAGGTTTGGCTCTAGTGGATTCTAAATTGGGTTTATTTAGGCAACATTTATTGTTATTCTGCCTCTTTACATCATATTTACAGACAGTAGTTTGGCCTAATGGTATTTTTGCATCACATTCTAGCTACTAGTGATGGGTATTCCAGTTTTGTTTTGTTTTTGGAGAACTGGCTCTTTCGGCTCCCAAGCGACTCTTGAGATTGTTTTGTTGCAAGCAGAACTAAACCAGAACTGAACCAGGACTGAGTGTCTCTCCTTCACTCGAGCCCAAGATTAGTCCTGGTTTATTCATTTTATGCTGAACTGCAGCCAAATATGCACTTTTGTTTTTTATCCTGTGCACACGAATATTTCTGAAAGTTTCGTTTTCAGCCGCTGCTGCTGTCAAACTACGGGTCGACATGCGGCATGAAGAGAAAAAGTGAGAGAAAGAGAAAACACGGCTCCCAATAAGAAACATGCTCCCGTTGTTCGCTTCAAAGAGCCGCTTCGATCGCGACCCATAACTCCTAGCTAGAAAAGAAACTACCGCTATTAGCCTTTAGCCGTAAAAAACGTGCGCGCCGCGGTAGTTAATTATATGCATAAATGTGGATCATTCACACGTCTATTCACAGCTCATTTACATATCAATGCTGGTCCAGTAACAAATATACGGCCAATATAGTCACTTTACAATAGACCAATAGAAAACAGCCTGTTTATGTGTGGGAGCTACAGCAGCTAACCGCTAACAAAACCTAAACTAGCTTCAAAGTCGATGTATTTCCAACACTCACCGCTCACACAGGCTCCTCCTCACATCACACAGGCTCCTCCCACATCACAAGTCTGCACTAATAAATGTCCTTTTAATCCAGACTCAAACCGATTGTCCGAAAAAAGAAAATAATCTCAGTGTTGCGCACGGCTGCGGGTGTAAACAAAACACACACGTGAGTGAAGTGACGTCACTCTGTGGTGTGTTCAGGGACACACACAGACAAATTACACCGCAGATAAATACTGATGCGGAGCCACATATTAGGACATTTATCTGTCTGTAAATTGGATTAAATGAACAGAATGTAGAGAGTCTAAGCTTTATAACGACGTATCACATGCCCACGTGAAATATCGGCCCATATCAGCAAGCATATCGGCCGATAGCCGATATGTCTCCAGGTGCCCATATTGGACGATAATATCGGCCAGACGATATATCGGTCGGGCTCTAATACAAAGTGTAGATTGTGCAGAGTCGAGTCTCAGGTCTGATCTGGTTCTGGTCTGGTTCTAGTCTCAGGTCTGATCTGGTTCTGGTCTGGTTCCTGTTTTGTCCAGTTCATTAAGTTTACTAAGTTACACATTCCAAGACCAGACTGTGAAAAGTCAAGATTTTCAACAATGGTTCACAGTTAGAAAAGTGAATAAAATTTAAGTTTTGAACATTTGATTTTCCCCAAGTTCAGTCAAACACTTCACATTGAAATGAACACAATCTGATCCCCCAAACATCCTGGATCTGATTCTTTGCTCTTAGTTCATTTTATAATGTTTTATAGAAGTATTGGATCGGGACTCGGTATCGGCAGATACTCAAAACTAAAGGACTTGAACTCGGGGGCAAAAAAATTTGATCGGGACAATTTATTGTGAAAATATCGTACAGAGATTTGGATATTGTTACATCTCTAATCATGAACCTCCCCACCGTATCATGAACCATGATATCGCAATAAATATCATAATGTGAGTTTCAGACCGTGACGATATCGCATGGTGAAGCTTGGATATCGTTACACCTCTAGCAGTTACATGAACCTTAGCGTGTTCTAGGTGTTATGTTCTTGTGTGCGTTTGTGGTTTGTACCGATTCCGGCCTGTCCCACGATCCAGGACATTCTGATGAAGAGCATGACGCCCCAGATGTTCAGCATGCAGCGGATCTGAAAACGCAACGAGAGAAACATGTCAAAACTCACTCTGAGAAGTTTGAGTCTGTGGAGACGCGGTAACACTTTATAATAACTACACCTTACTCAGCCTTAATAAAGCATGAACAAAGACTTAATTAATAATGAACAAAGATTTAATTAATAATGATTCACGCTTAGTAAATGCTTAATAAAGCATAATTCGTCTTCACTTTAGAAAAGCTCTCAAAAAGAGTTATTAACTAACAGATAACAGCTGCCTGAATTATCATTGCATTGTGTTATTAGTAAATCATTCTTTACTCTTTCAGTTACTAATGATTAATAAATGCTCAAATGGTTAGTCCATGAGTAATTAAGTATGAAATAATTATGAGTAACTATTTACAGCGCAGGCAAATTAAGTGCAAGTGCTAATTAAGGTAGTAATTAAGTAGTTACGAAGCGTGAATCATTATGAATTAAGTCTTTGTTCATGCTTTATTAAGGCTAAATAAGGTGTAGTTATTATAAAGTGTTACCCATTTACGGTAGAAAAACTCTGATATAAACTCAAAACCAAACACTGTGACTGACCAGAACTCCTTTGACCCATCCGAACTTCACCATTCCTCCTTTGGCCTCTTTCGCCGCCAAAGCCGCCGCCTCCTCTGCCGCAGACGGCTCGTCCCCATTGGCCAGTCCCTCCTCAAAGGGCTCCTGTCGACCAATCACAGACGAGAAGAGCGTTCAGACAAACCAATCACAGACGAGAAGAGCGTTCAGACAAACCAATCACAGACGAGAAGAGCGTTCAGACAAACCAATCACAGACGAGAAGATTTTTCAAAGTATTCAAACTAAATAAAGTTTAATAATAACTATATTTTCGTAACAAACAACAAAAGTTCAAACCTTGGTCGTAGGTTTAGAATCATTTTATGGCCCGCGCTGCAAATTTCTCTGATCTGGCCAAGATTTTAAAACTTCCATCAGGTTATTCATCTTGTTTTCAGATTTGTTTTGTACTTACTCGTTCTGAGATGCTTCATTCTCATCTAGAGGTCATTTATTTTAAGAGAACTTACTGCATAAACCCAGACTAAACCAAAACTTTAACTCAGATTAAACCAGGACCAAAACAAGTCTGAAACAGGACTAAACCAGGACCAAAACAAGTCTGAAACAGGACTAAACCAGGACCAAAGCAAGTCTGAAACAGGACTAAACCAGGACCAAAACAAGTCTGAAACAGGACTAAACCAGGACCAAAGCAAGTCTGAAACAGGACTAAACCAGGACCAAAACAAGTCTGAAACAAGACTAAACCAGGACCAATCCAGGGTCAGGACTTAACCCAGGACTAAACCTGCACAAACCTAAGGCCAAGACTTAAACAAGACTAACCCAGGACTAAAGTAGGACTAATGGACTAACGTAGGACTAAACCAGAACTAAATCAGATCTAAACCAGGACTACACTGCGAAAACTAAAATCTACCCACATTAAGACGACTTGAAATAAGAAAGTTTTATCATGATTCAAGTCAGTTTCACTTTGCCAGTGGAACAAAACTTTTTGTAGTTAAAATATGAAAATACATCTTGTTAAACTTAAAATAAGAAAAACAACAACTATTTTGAACTTAAAATAAGAAACAAAATCAAATGTTGCTTGAATGAAGAAAAATACACTTATTCTTTTGGTAGATAATTGTACTCGTCAAGTTGAATCGACTCAAATAAAGTAAAATATTCTTAATTTAAGTCGTTTTAATTTAGCTAGAGATTGTTTTTCGCAGTGTAAACCAGGTCTAAACCAGGACTAAACCAGGACTAACCCAGGACTAACGCAGCGTGTGTCCAGAGCCCGTCCGTGGGTGTAATTGAGCTTTGTGTGAGCTCAGTGTGACGTCAGGAGAGGAGAGGAATGTGTCCCGTCTGAGACCCCGGGACCCTGAATACACCACTGTCCCATTCACACTTTTCATTATTTAAACTTAGTCCTTACTTCTGTAAAACTACAATAAAACAAAAAAAATCTGCTAAATATATTTATAATGTAAGCACTACAAAAACTCAATACTGTTATGCAATTTCACAAAATAATTAATACTGTAATTGATACTAATATGGGGTGACCAGAATTTCGAAATAAAAAATAATAAATAAAACTGTAAAACAAGTGCGCAATTATAGTCACATTTTCTTTGTGTTTTGGTCATTTTTTTAAGCAGCTTTTCTGTATTTTACCTAAACAAATGACAGTTTATGTCTCTTTATGGCTCTGTTTAATGTTGTCAAAAATAGGGACACCTGGGACATTTCTTGTATAAAATTGGGACAAATCAGTGGTTTTGTGTAAATCTGCAGGGACAAGGGGACAGAGGGCTCAACACTGGGACTGTCCCGGGGAAACAGGGACGACTGGACACACTAATATATAACGTAAGCACTAGAAAAGATCAATACTGTTATACAATTTCACAAAATAATAGGCTATCATGAATACTAACACCTATGGCTTATTGGTTCTACATTTTACAGTGAGGCTAGTTCAAGTTTATATTCATCAAATGCACATTAAAGTTTGTATGGAGGATTTTTTTTAGTTTCAAATTGTCTTTGAAAGTTTAAAATACCATTACAGAGACACAGCAGCCTTATAATTATAATGACCAAAAAAAAATAAAAAAAATGAAAATCTATCAACTGTGGACGTAGTGAGGGCAGATAAACATCAGCCAATAGAAAACAAGGCTCCCTCTTTATCTATTGGCTGTTCGGTTGTCAATCAAACTCCCTACGTTTCTAGTGCAACTGACTCGTCGGCGCGCTGGGATTACGTGGTTTATGCAGCAGCTCTTAGAGGCTTTTTCAAACTGTCACTTCTTTGCAATTCGCACAAAGTTTGTTGCGATGTCGGACGAGAAGCCACGACCAGTTCGCCGCCAAAGAAAGTCCATTTTTGAGGTCGCTGAAAGAAGAAGAGAAGGGGAAAAGGAGCGAAGACAAACCGAGGTGATTCTTGGAGATCTGAAGCGGACGAAGGGTCTAAAAACTGACGCATCGGTCGCTAAAATATTTCTAGACAGGTCACTTCAACGGTAATTCTAAACAAACGTGATTTCTAGAGTAAAGAGGCGGGAGGAGGAGGTGTTTCTACTGAGGAGCTGTGGAGGAGGAAGGTGGTGTCACGCATGCACAACATTTGAAAAAGGACGGTCGCTGTATTTCACTTCCCTTTAAAAAAAATCCTCTATACAACATTTAATCTGTGGAAAGATACGTATTTAGAGCATAGATATTATTATTTACTATACAGGGTTTGTGGAACTTCTGGTTAATGTTTTTCTGTGTAAATGTGTGTGTTTACATAGAAAACACTCACATTTGTAAATGTGTGTCGTATTCCCTTCACTAAATCTTCAACCAACAAACTCCACAAAGGATAAACATTCTTCATGAACAGTTTATCCACAAATATCAAGAGAAGAAAGAGCAAAACTTAAAGGAAACAACGAGCCACATTAGTCACACAACAAACTCAACTAACATGAATAAAACAGAAGGAACTTGTTCACTCAGACTGATTCTTCAATTTTAATGAAAATTTGATTTCATGATGTGGAAATTTGTTCGCATTCAAACTGCACAAATCTGTATGTCTCTGCTAATATCTACATTATTTTTCATTTTAATTCTAGAATCAGTCTGAGTGAACAAGTTACTGAAGTTTTTTTGTTCTCCTTTAAGTTTTGGTCATTCTTCTCTTGATAGTTGTGGATAAATTGTTCATGAAGAATGTTTCTCCTTCGTGGAGTTTGTTGGTTGAAGATTTGACGATGGGGCAGATTTATGAAGCTGCTGGAGAATATTCTCTATTCACGCTTCTGACACAAACCAGGAAGACGTTTGGAAACTTGCGATGAAACTTCCGGTGTAGTTCCCGACACTGGACTCGACCGACCGTGATCAAACCCACTGAAGTAAATGAAGACTGCAGACGCACGTGCTGTTTGGAATCATCTCGTCTCTTCTAATCGCATGAACCCAGTGCGCTCGGAGTTGTAGGGAAAAGAGGAAAACGGAGGCATGGTTGGAACTGTTGATGAGCCGAACATAACGGAACACTACAGCGACATGGAGGTGAAGAAAACTGGGACATTTTCTCATTTTTCCTAGATTTTGTCAGACTTACTGCGGCGAACAGAGCCCAAAGGAAGTTGTCACTGCATGTTTCCAAACGTCTTCCTGGTTTGGGATGTAAACGTGAACAGAACCTAAACGTGAGACATTTCCACAGACATTTTGTCACAGAAAACCATTCCACAAACCTACAGCGACCCTTGTGAAATTAGGGCTGGGTATGATTAAGAAGCTGCGATACAATACATATCTCGATACAGTGTACTTTCGATTCGATATGATATATTTCAAATTGATTCGATACGGATCAATTAAAAATAAAGGTTAAATCATGTCTGTGATACTAAAAGTCTTTGCTAAATCACTTCTTGTGCTTATACATTTTAATCCTCAAAACAGTGAAAATGTCAAATGTGTCGCATAAATGAGTTTCCTTCCTCTAAATAAACAACAAAACTGTAGCTGTAACAAAATAATTTAGTAAAATATACCTAAAAATACTCTTGGCGATATATCGATACAGCAGCCCACGATATCGATACCGTATCATCACATTAACCAATACGATATATCGATATTTCAATATTTTTGCACACCTCTATGTGAAATAGGTCTATATGTTGTAATTGAGACTAATACCTATGTTGTTTTGGTATTATATTTAAAAGTAGGGCTAGTTCATGTTTCTTATTCATCAAATGTACAATATTTAGTGCATTAATATTATTATTTACCATAAAAGTTCACAGCAGAAGCTTCGGTCTCTTCACTCCAGAATGTTCCAGAAATCCAGACAGCGCGCCAAAAACGCATTAGCTTAGCCTTAGCTTGTTTCAGCTCACACAAATATTCAACTTTTTTTTTTTTTTTTTTTATGTAAACACGACTAAAGTTTAATTCTGATTCTCTTAACAAAGACTGAAGGCGTCACTCACTTTGTCGAGTTCGTCGTGGAGCTCGGACAGCGAGGGCCGGGTGAGTTTCTCCCCGAAAGGTGCGGCGGTTTGTCGGTAGAAGTCGATGTTGGGCACCGCGTCGATGGTGTTGTGTCCGAACGTCCTCATGTAGTACGTGTTCGAGTGCGAGTCCGAGACGTGCGACACTCCGGACAGATGCGTGTGGCCCGTGCCCGTGGAGTGCAGGCTCACCGAGTCACTCTTCACATGGTCCGGCTCCTGGAACACGTCCGGCGGCGCCCCGAGCTCCGAGTCCGAGAAGCCCACCACCCGGAACCGGCCCCGGGACTCGTCAGGGGGCCGCGCCGCTTCAGGGGCCGCAGGAGCCGTGGAGTACACCGGGGCCGGAGCGGGAGGAGCCGGGGAGTACACCGGGGCCGGAGCGGGAGGAGCCGGGGAGTAGACTGACGCCGGAGCGGGGGCCGGGGAGTAGACCGGTACCGCGGCGGGAGGTGCAAGGGAATAGACCTGCGCCGGAGCAGGGGCCGGAGGAGCTGGGGAGTAGACTATGACCGGGACTGGAGCCGGGCCTGGAGGAGCCGGGCCTGGAGGAGTCGGGGCTGGGGGAGCCGGGGAGTAGACCGGGGCCGGAGCAGCTGCAGGGTTCCCACGGTCATGTGAATCCTGGAAAAATCATGGAAATTGAAAATGTCATTTTCTAGTCCTGGAAAAGTCATAGAATTTTGTAAATTCAATGAAAGTTTTTGGAAAAGTCATGGGATTTTAGTGTCTCTTTCGCGTAGTGTTCTGTTAAGTTCTCATGAGGCTGTTCTGATTATTTCTGAACATCTGCACCTTTTGTGTAAAAGAGACGACAATAAATTCACTGACAGGATTTAGAATGTTTAAAACTATAATCCCAAACTAGAGCCCGACCGATATATCGTCTGGCCGATATTATCGTCCAATATGGGCACCTGGAGACATATCGGCTATCGGCCGATATGCTTGCTGATATGGGCCGATATTTCACGTGGGCATGTTATACGTCGTTATAAAGCTTAGACTCTCTACATTCTGTTCATTTAATCCAATTTACAGACAGATAAATGTCCTAATATGTGGCTCCACATCAGTATTTATCTACGGTGTAATTTGTCTGTGTCCGTACTGTCCCTGAACACACCACAGAGTCACGTCACTTCACTCACGTGTGTTTGTTTACACCTGCAGCCGTGCGCAACACTGAGATTATTTTCTTTTTCGGACAATCGGTTTGAGTCTGGATTAAAAGGACATTTATTAGTTCAGACTTGTGATGTGGGAGGAGCCTGTGTGATGTGGGAGGAGCCTGTGTGATGTGGGAGGAGCCTGTGTGAGCGGTGAGTGTTGAAATACATCGACTTTGAAGCTAGTTTAGGTTTTGTTAGCTGTTAGCTGCTGTAGCTCTCGCACATAAACAGGCTGTTTTCTATTGGTCTATTGTAAAGTGACTGTATTGGCCGTATATTTGTTACTGGAACCTGCATTGATATGTAAATGAGCTGTGAATAGACGTGTGAATGATCCACATTTATGCATATAATTAAACTACCGCGGCGCGCACGTTTTTACGGCTAAAGGCTAATAGCGATAGTTTTCTAGCTAGTAGTGATGGGTCGGTCGTGATCGAAGCGGCTCTTAGATCGAACAACGGGAGCCATGTTTCTTATTGGGAGCCGTGTTTTCTCTTTCTCTCACTTTTTCTCTTCATGCTGCATGTCGACCTGTAGTTTGACAGCAGCAGCGGCTGAAAACGAAACTTTCAGAAATATTCGTGTGCACAGGATAAAAAACAAAAGTACATATTTGGCTGCAGTTCAGCATAAAATGAATAAACCAGGACTAATCTTGGGCTCGAGTGAAGGAGAGAGATAGAAACCAAGTCCCAACACTCAGACCTGGTTAAGTTCTGGTTTAGTCCTGTTTTACACATGGTTTAAATCTGTTTTAGTCCTTTTTCAGTCCTGGTTCAGTTCTGGTTTAGTCCTGCTTGCAACAAAACAATCTCAAGAGTCGCTTGGGAGCCGAAAGAGGCAGCTGCTTTAGTGAGCCGAGCCAAAAGAGCCGGTTCTCCAAAAAAAAAACTGGAATACCCATCACTAGTAGCTAGAATGTGATGCAAAAATGCCATTAGGCCAATCTACTGTATGTAAATATGACGCAAAGAGGCAGAATAACAATAAATGTTGCCTAAATAAACCCAATTTAGAATCCACTAGAGCCAAACCTAAGTTTTTTAAACAATTCAAGATTTACAGTGAATTTTTACATCACTAAATGTATCGGCAGCGCCAACTCCCATTATATCAGTTTCATATCGGCCACAACAAAATCCATATCGGTCGGGCTCTATCCCAAACCATAAGGTGAGTGGAAAGAGTTAAACATTTCAGATTTAGCTCTAAAAATCTGATCAGTTCTACACATGTAGGAGCTGTACATCAGACATGTCAAACTCAGGCCCAGGAGCCAAATTTGGCTATAGAGACATTATTTATTTAAAATTGTGTTATTAGTTTATATTCTGCTTGTTCTGGATTCAGTGTTAAAGTAAAACTATTATTAACCATTTATTTTAATAAGAAAAGGTTTAACATTACATATCTGGAAAGAAGAGAAAAGATGCAGATGTTGTTGACATTTTACAATAAATATGTAGTTTGGCCCACGACTTAGTCCCAGTTTTTAATTTTGGTCTCTGTGAATTTGAGTTTGACATTCCTGCTGTAAATTCATGGATTTTGCAATGTTGTCAGTGAAAAAGTGTGGAAACCCTGAGCTGGTACCGGAGCTGGAGGTGCACCCGCAGGAGGGGCCACCGGAGCTGCAGCGTACACCGGCCCTGGAGGCGCCTGGAGCGGTGGAGGAGCAGGTGGAGCCGCCGCCGGAGCCGCCGCCGGAGCCGCCGCCGGAGCCGGAGGTTGGACCGGGGCAGATCCAGACGCCGAGGCCTCGCTGACCATGTTCACCTGGAAGCGGCTGTCGGAGGGTGTTTGTCCGGACATGTCTGAACCCACAGAAACTCAGTCCAACAGGTCAGTTATTAAAAATGTAAAAATATAAACCGATAAAACTTGTGCACAAAAAGTCCAACGTTAATATCACATAATAAAAAACTGACCAATATAAGCAAAAGTTCACCACTCTTCATTCATTAATTTCCATCAAAACTGACATAAAAACTACTTAAATCTATAAAATGTAATTATTTGTTGTTTAAATTTACAATTCACAATATTAATTAATTAAATTCAAATGTGATGCTTCCAGAAAAAAATATTCTCTAATAAATAATCATAATCTTTAGTCTGAGCCACTTTCAGCTCTAAACAAACTATCTGAAACAAACCAAGTACGACGAAAATAAATATGAAAATAGTTGCAAAATATCTTCAAAATTCACCAGGAAATATCCAAGAATATTGTCCAGAGTCCAGAAAAATTGAGTTATATTTCCAGTTTAAGGTAAGTCCTGCAGAGGAGCTGTGAGAGCAGAGGAACTGTCCATGTTGGAGTGTGGACAGAGCAGCGTCCAGTGTGTGTCCTCTGAGAGACTGAGGTCACTGTGTCCTCCCCCTCCTCCTCTGTGTGGGATCATCGCTGTGAGGCAAACGGACAAGACGACAAACACACGGAGCGGCGCCACTCGATCACTTCATTCAAATTAAAGCGGAACTAACTCCACGTAAAAAAAAAAAAAAAAAGAGTAGTTTTATGGACCTGTATTTCCCTTCTACCAATGTCTTGAGAGAGTCTGAAGGACACACAGAGGTTCATCCTGGAACTCAGGAGCAGGACCTGTGCACTCGAGCAATAAAGGCCCAGATCTACCACACCAGACCAGAGCCACAGTGTCGACTGTACAAAGAGGCTCCTGAGACAGTCCAGCACAGAACTGCAGGTGTAAGATGCTGCAGGGAAACAAACATGGAGCCACAGAACCAAGAGGAGCCACAGTCACAGAAACATCTGTGCAGAGTACAGGCTGGAGACCCCAGGATCAAGGTGGGAAACACCTCCAAAGGTTGTGGAGAACGACTGAGCCAAGATCCTGTGGGATCCAGATACAGACTGACAGGATGGAGATGGACCAACCAGACACAGTGATGGTGGAGAAGAAACAGAGCAGAGCCGCGGTGGTGGAACATCACAACACCAAGAGATGGAAATATCAGGAAAAAGGAACATGAGAAACTAGAGAAACACCAGGGGCTCAAGGAGGAGCTGGAGAGAACCTGGAAAGTGAAGGCATCAGTGGAGCCTGTGGTGATCGGACACTCGGGGCTGTGACCCTCAAACTGGAAGAAACTCCAGCAGATACCAGGAAAAACAACGGAACATGTCAGTCCAGAAAAGTGCAGGACTGGGAACAAAATACATTTATTAAATTATAGTTGGTATTACAGTTTAAAAATACCTATAAAAACAGACATTCTGACTGTGAGCGGGGTCTCCTCTCCATAGATCTGACCTGTAACTTTGTCAGGTTTGGTCTCCATGGAGATAGAAATGTCTGATAACAAACAGTGAAACATCAACTGACAAACCCTGCACCAGAAACATTACACAGATTTGAATAATGTAAATATCTCAAGTAGAACTATAGGTTTTCTGTCAAAGCCGTTCTCAGATCCATATGTATGCGGTTCCACGTCGGGCTCACATGACGAGCTCCGTGGGGTCGGGACAAAGGCATTTGTCATCGCAGTGACACACAGAGACATTCACTGTGTCGCATTAGCATTTAGAACAACAAGAGCCGTGTCTGTGCGACGCACGGGCCCAACAATGGCCAAGAAACTCTCCACAGCAGCACCCACAAAACGCACAATTCAACTCTTAAAGGTGCACTACGGACTGCGGGACGGTTCTGCTGGTGCTGGAGGGTCCGCTACCTGCTTGTCTCCATGGTGATGTTATTGTTTTGTCTGTAATGTTCCACAGTATGGCATTCATCCAATCTCCATAGAGACAAGCAGCTCAAGTTATAAGTCACATCTGTAGAGAGACTGGAAATCACAATTAGAATTATACAAACATTTTTTTTAAAACACTCAAATCAACCATTTTTATTTATTTATTTTATTTTATCTACAAAAGCACACCATAGAAAAATAATATGTTCATTGTCCCCAAACAGTCAAAATTCTATAAAAATAAATAAATACTTTTTTTTTTTTTTTTTTACTGATACGGTGCAGCACATCGATTTGAGTCTGAACAATTTGGGAAAAATATTTAATTGCTAATTTTCTGACAAACACTGTGATTGTGATTAGATTTGTGATTTATGTAATACTGGGATCCTAGTCATTGTTTTTGTGGTTTTGAGCCATTTTGCAGCTTTTTCCATTTCAAATCAACGTAATCAGACTTTAAATGCACAAAGATTAGAAATGTCATTCCCAAGTTTGGGTCCAGAGATTCTCAGGGGTTTAGAATGAAGGGATTGGATGTTCATTGCTTCTACGGAATATTTTATAACAACTGCTGTGGTAACATCTTCATCAACCAAAAAAATATCTAGGACAGTATTATTATGTAGGAGAATGATGTTGGGGTCCCAGATGTATCCACGGATAAAAAGAGTCAAAACCACTGGACTAGAACAAGGGAAAGGTCAAAAATTATTAATACAATCATTAGAAAAAAAAAAGAAAAAATACTTTGAATCCTTCAACCTATAACAGTAATATGTGTGAACTCTAAAGTCTCAGAATTACACATTTTATCCACAAAATCGATTTTGAATTAAAAACGACACCGTAAAAACAACAACATCTAGGTGGGTTAAAATTAATTAAATTAAGAACATTTTACTTTATTTGAGTCGATTCAACTTGACAAGTACAATTATCTACCAAAGAATTAAGTGTGTTTTTCTTAATTCAAGCAACATTCGATTTTGTTTCTTATTTTAAGTGTAAAAATATGTTTGTCTTATTTTAAGTGCAGCAAAATGTAGTTTCATATTTTAAGTACAAACATTCTTGTTCCACTGGCAGAAAGTCTTATTCTTATTTACTTGTCAAGTGAAAAAAACCTTTAAAATTTAGATCATCTTAACTTGACTAGATTTAGTTTTTTGCTGTGTGTGATCATTTACAAACATAATAAACATTTTAACTCTGATAAACTTAACACCATGACGTTCTCAATGTCTAACCTCAGTTTTATTTGCACATTTATCAAAACTGTTGGTTTAATAAACTGTTGAAATACAAGTTCAAAACCAGGAAAACATGTTTAGAGCTCAGTGCCCCTCTGGTGTTGACTCTTCCCAAACTGACCTAAATATAAATAACTAATAGTTGAGTTTCAGCTGACGTCATTGTTATTAAAAGTCCGCGTTGCTGCTGGGAAATATTTTGGTCGGAGGCAAGAAACACGGTAGCGTCAAACACAGTGTGTAACCTCGTGTATTTCTCCCTGATAATGGTAAATTCCTGCTGCATTATCGGATGCACAAATAGAAACACGGAAGAAGGAAAATGTCTTTTTCGTATTCTGAGTGAAAAGAACCACTAACGGTGAATTAAACGACTTTCAAACATCCGCAGAGCAAACGTAGAAGATCCTAACAAACCGTGGACTCAACAAGTTCAACAACACATCCAGACTCTTGGAGGTTTTCATCTTTTCTGCTGTGAATGGCCCAGGAGTTTCCACCAAGTCATTGTGGATGTCGCCCAAGTGAATATTTGTCCAGGTAGTTGGAGATTCTGACCAGAAGTTTGGTTTGGTCCAGGACTCTGTCGGGGTTGAAAAGGGTGATTTGTCGTCCGTCGATGTTTATGACCAATTTCTGGTCAAATGGTCTTGGGTCGTCTGCCGTTAGAGTGGAGAAATAACCAGGATCAATACCCTTTACGTGTTTTCTCGCTCCGTCCGTCATGTTGAATTAGTGTTTCTTGCCACCGACCAAAATAATTCCCAGCATGAAACGCACGCTTTTGTCAACAATGAAACTCACCTATACAGTGGTTGTCAAACTTTTGCACAAAGTTCCACCTAATTTTGTATTTGTCTTTCCAACTGGGACTTTTATCAGCCTAAACTAAATATGGTCTAAAATGAGACTAAATCAGCTCTAAAAATAACTATGGAGTTCTACATGATGATGAATCCAAAGGAACACACTATTTGTCTCTGAATAAAACAAACACTCCAACTGCAGAGTGCCCTGAGAACCACCAGAGGGCGCCCCCGCACCAGTGACGCATACCACAGTTTAAGAAACACTACACCAATGCATCACCAAGTGGACTTATAAAAACTGTGTCATCCAGAACAAACTTCACCCGTGAACACAAAAACAGGACAAGATTATTCTGTACCGGGGCTAGACAACCTTAAACACTAAAAGAGCCATTTGGACCGTTTCCCACAGAAAAGAAACTCCCAGAGCCTCAAAACTCTTTCAGCGTCTAAATTGAGGAAACTGTTTGCCTGTATGCTACTGTATGTACTGAAGACTATAGTGTGCTCCTTTTATGAAACCAATGAAATGCTACAGAGAACACGGAATTTAATTATTGAACTCCGAAAAAAATGACGCTCAGTTGATGCTTACTTTCAAACGAAATACTCCATGCCTATTTGAGTTCTCGTAGAAATAAAAATCCAAACTTAAATCATCAACCCGCAGTGAACCAAAAATGCTGTGCTTCTGTTTTTTAGCACATATAAACCAGTTTTATCAGCCCTGAAATCAAATGAATGTTTTCTTGGATTTATCCGTCATTCACCTACCGGGGGTTGAAAAGCTCAATAAATCATGCAGCTGGTGTAGGTGCCGGTAAGTCCGGGCTGCCAGACCTGCGCCGGCTGTGACGCATATTATGAGCGACAAAAATGTTTAAAACGTTTAATTTTAATGTTACAAGATTATCATTATCTGCAAATTTAGAATTACATTTAAAAATGAACAAACGATAAATAAAAATACATTGTAATTAAATATTCATTATTTATTTTCCAAAGTCACATGGAGCCACAACAGAAGGATAAAAGAGCCACCGACCCCTGTGCTTTTCTAACAACACATTTAACTATAACAGGAGTTTATTGCACAGAGCTCTGAATTTAAAATCAAATCTACACAACAGTGAATTACACAGGTTAGAATTATGTTTAGAAGTTAAACCTGTGCAGCTGAGTGTTTTTTGAAACCTTTATCCACTATCAGGATTTAGTCAGAATACATTTGTTGTACATAGGTCTTCTGTTTTAACATACATAGGCTGAATTAGTTAAAGGTTGTATGGAGGATTTTTTTTTTTGTTTCATTTTAAAATACCATTACAGAGACGGAGCAGCCTTGTAATTATGATGACCAAAAAAAAAAAAAAGAATGAAAATCTATCAACTGTGGACGTGTTGAGGCCAGATAAACATCAGCCAATAGAAAACGAGATGACCTCTTTATCTATTGGCTGTTAGGTCGTCAATCAAATTCCCTACGTTTCTAGTCTGACTCACCGGCGCGCTGGGATTTTGTGGTTTATGCAGCGGTTCTTAGAGGCTTTTTTAAACTGTTGCTTCCTCGCAGTTCGCACAAAGTTTGTTGCGATGGCGGACGAGAATCCACGACCAGTTCACCGCAAAAGAAAGTCCATTTTTGAGGTCGTTGAAAGAAGAAGAGAAGAAGGGGAAAAGGAGCGAAGACAAACTGAGGTGATTCTTGGAGATTCCTTCCAGCGATGGTGCGACCTTAACTGGTCTTCATCAGGGTTTAATTAAAACAGAACATGGGTGTGGCCTTTAAGTAAAACACATCAACCAATAGCAGGCTGGAGGCAGACAAAACAGGTGCACAATCAGCAGCACAGGACATGGCACAGGCAAAAAAAAAAAAAAAAAAATTTAATAAAATAATGTAAACACAATACACACATAAATGTACAAAATTAATAAAGAAAATAAATACATAAACAAAAAACATAACAAACATTATCATTACCATTAATGTTTCCATTATTATTGTTACCAATAATTTATTATTATTTATTGTTTTTATTGTATTTTTATTATATTAGTGTTATTAGTTTTATTATTTATTATTTTTATTATTATTGCCATCATCATTATCAATAATAACCATAATAAAATATAACATAAATTAACCTTTTTTTTTTTTTTTTTTTTTTATGTAATCTTGATGACTGTAGAGCACAGATTAAAAACTTTCTAAAACAAATTACAGGTCTCATTACACAGTTTTACAAAATAATGTTCTCACTAAAACGGAGGAATAAAGTGACGTACAGTGTTACTCTGTGTTGCTCGGTGTTCCTCCGTGTGTGTGACTCGGTGTGACTCGGTGTTACTCGGTGTGACTCGGTGTTACTCGGTGTGACTCTGTGTTGACTCGGTGGTGTGACTCGGTGTGACTTGGTGTTACTCGGTGTGACTCGGTGTGACTCTGTGTTACTCGGTGTCGGTGTGACTGTGTGTGTGACTCTTGGTGTGACTCGGTGTGTGTGACTCTACTCGTGTGTTACTCGGTGTGACTCGGTGTTACTCGTGTGTGACTCGGTGTGACTCGGTGTGACTCGGTGGACTCAGGAGCTTCAGGGTTCAGTGTTTGTGTCTCTGGATCTGGAGAAGCTAAAAATATAAACACAATAAGAACACGACAAAATACTGAGACAGGATAAATATACACAAATACAAAACAAATAAACAAAGAAAATAATTATTCACACATTATTTAGAAAACTTAAGAACAACAAGCCAAATATTTTCCTCATTAAGTTAACTAAATGAGTTAAATAATCATTACAAAAAGCACTGTGTCATTTGGCTGAAAGAACAACAAGAATAACAATACAGAACATTTTTAGACATTTTAAAAACACTCACTGTTTGTCGCCTGAACAACAGGATTTAGATTTTGCTGCATCTGAGCATCTTGTTGACGTTTGTTTTGGGCTGAAAAAAATATGAATAGGATTGAAACTCAAAACTATCATAATTAATGTTCAGAAATGTTTAACTCACTAAACCAGTCAGTACATAAATAATAAGAATGGACAAAGTGACAGAAATAATTTAAATAAACATTACTGACGTTGAATAACTGACATTCGCATTTTTGTTCGATTGTTTTGGCTCATTTTCCGAAAATTTTCATAAAACTGGCAAATCTGTAGCACACTTTACCAAACTATAAAACATAAAAAAGGACACTTTGTGGTTAAAATAAAAACACAGTCAACAGGGGTATAAACTTATCTAATTATTTAAAATATTTATTCACATTTTATAAACATGTAGTGAATATTCTTCCTTCAGAGTCTGTTCTAAAACCACTTGATTTTACTGGCAGAGGATTGGCTGTAGACCTCAGCTGGATGGATAATTTTAAGGATGGGAATACCGTGGGGTCCAGTCAAGTGGTAACGGAGGGAAACAGGGTCAGATGTTTGACATTCAAATGTCTCTTATTCAGAAACTAGAGGAACTATTGAAATAAGTAAAGTATCAGAATGTAGGAAAGAGTTACACTCCAACAGGGTCAAGTTAAACCTGTGAGATTCTTTCACGTTTCACGACAAAAAATTTAAAAACTCATGTCAGTAACGGAGGGAATGAAATATGCAGCACTTTTTGGTCAATAAATCCAAACAGTGATAACTCTTGGTTCTCACTTCCATATCCTTAACAAACTGGTTTGAATATTTGCTTCATATAGTTTTCTACCATATGGAACAAGATTAGGTTGAAAAACCTCTGACTTTTTGACTCATGAGATTTTTTATTAAGAAAGTTCATGGTAACGGAGGGAAAAGTAACGGAGGGAAATTTGTACAAACAAGTAGAAGGTGCAGGATTTTACATCATTTGTCGCTTTTTTCTTCTGAAAACTTTAATATTACTTCAAAATGAAAGGAAACTATTTCTATAAAATATGTCAGTCCTTCCAAGCAAATTTGTATAATTTTAAATACATTTATTTTTAAAAATCACGTCCCTTCATCAACAGTTCAAAGATGGAATAACACAAGATATGATGAAATACAAACATTTATTTACATGATTTTCAGGTCTTTGAAATTTGGGAAAAATTTTTTGTTCCATGTTTCATTCATGGTCTGTTTAAAACATATGGAACTTTAGAACCAAAAATGGTCCAGAAAAAAGGTCAACAGTTTCATAAACTAGAGAACATATGTATCTGTTCAATACATTTTTATATCAGATGCATTAACTAGAATTTTGGCCTTGATGTTTACTTCTGCTTGACCAGGCCCCGTGGTAACACTCTGATGTTACGGAGGAAAAACAAAACACACCATCTGTAACTTTCACTGGCTCAGAACTGACTGACTTCCATTTTTAGTGTAAGAGCACATGTCATTATTATTATTATTACCTGGTCCCCGAAGGGTTGACCAGGTTTTGTATTCACCCTGTGTGTCTGTCCACTCGCGATAATAATTCCGCCATTTATGGACCGACTGTCACCGAATTTGGTATGTGGGTCAAGCCCCCATGCCCGATGCTGCAAAAAAAAAAAAAGTTTGACGATCTGAGGTCATTTGAGGTCACACGGGTCAAATGAAAGGTCACGCCGTTATAAAGGATTGGCAGTTTCTGAAGCATCTGCGGCCTAAAATATTCACCCAATCGTCACACGAGCTGGCACACACATAACCGCGGTATGGGCTGGGCTCCTCATAATCTGCTTCCATGGTGATGAACTGCCCCCACCGATGCCTCATGGGGGACCAGGTTGCTACCTCTGGTTGCGCTTGTAATTATTATTTGTCCAGTCATGTACATAATTTGGCAACAGCTTTTCCATTAAAAAGTCCAATAGAACTGACCAAAGGAAAGTGCCTGTATATTTTCACTCTGTTCAGAAAAGCAGAGTGTGTAGATGTTTATGTATGACGAGAACAAACGGACTCATGTAAGGACGGCTTTAGTTTATCTACATATTCATACATTTAGTGCATAAAATGTGCAGTTGTTTCTGACCTCTCTTTCGTCTGATCACAAAGACCACAGAAGCAATGATGACGGCAACTCCCACAGTGACCACAGCAACGATCATGGAGGCCGGGGTTTTTTTGGCTGAAAAACAAAATCACTCATGATTTCTTCAGTAGTTTGAATAGTAGTTTCTTCATCAATGCAAACAGCCGTACAGATGTTCCCTGCTCCTTCACACAGTCACACCACAGCAGACTATGGTGTGACCGTGGTCAGACTCATTTTGGGTTGAATTTTTGATCTGGAAGCATTTTTTACATTCAATTATGGTAGTTTTCCCACCTATTTAAAAACAATCTTTTTACTCTTATTATTCATCTTTTATCACTGTTGTATTTGTGCTTTGTTAATAATGCTGTCCCCTCCTTGAACCGTCACCTTATCGTGGTGGAGGGTTTGATGCCCGAATGATCCCAGGAGCTATGTTGTCGGGGGCTTCCTGCTCCTGGTCACCCAAGGCAAACAGGTCCGGGGGGACGGGTCAGACGAAGAACGGTTCAGAAGCCCCTATGATGAGTGTACGAGCAAGGCCAGTTACGTCGCCCAGATCGGCGTCACCGGGGCCTCACCCTGGAGCCAGGCCTGGGGTGGGTGCTCGCCAGCGAGCGCCTGGGGGGCCGAGCCTCCCCCCACGGGGCTCGGCCGGGCTCAGCCCGAAGGAGCGACGTGGGGCCGTCCTCACGTGGGCCACCACCCGCAGGAGGATCCATATGGGGCCGGTGCAGAGAGATCTGGGCGGCAGTCGACGGCGGGGGCCTCGGCGACCGGATCTCCGGACATGGAGACTGTGGCTCTGGGGACATGGAATGTCACCTCGCTGGGGGGAAGGAGCCTGAGCTTGTGCGGGAGGTTGAGTGTTACTGTCTAGATTTAGTCGGCCTCACCTCCACGCACAGTTTGGGCTCTGGAACCCAACTCCTTGAGAGGGGCTGGACTCTCCATTTCTCTGGCGTTGGCCGCGGAGCGGCGGGAGCGGCGGCTGGGTGGGCTGGTGTGGGCTCATCGCCCCACAGCTCAGTCGCTGTGTGTTGGAGTTCACCCCGGTGAACGAGAGGGTCGCGTCCCTGCGCCCTTCGGGTCGGGGACAGGTCTCTCACTGTGGTGTCGGCCTACGGGCCGAACAGCAGTGCAGAGTACTCGAGTACCCGGCCTTCTTGGAGTCCTTGGGAGGGGTACTAGACAGTGCACCGACCGGGGACTCCGTTGTTCTCCTGGGGACTTCAACGCCCACGTGGGCAACGACAGTGACACTTGGAGAGGGGTGATTGGGAGGAACGGCCTCCCTGATCTGAACCCGAGCGGTGTTTTGTTATTGGACTTCTGTGCTAGTCACAGTTTGTCCATAACCAACACCATGTTTGAGCACAAGGGTGTCCATAAGTGCACGTGGCACCAGGACACCCTAGGCCGGAGGTCGATGATCGACTTTGTAGTCGTGTCATCTGATCTCCGGCCGCGTGTCTTGGACACTCGGGTGAAGAGAGGGGCTGAGCTGTCAACTGATCACCACCTGGTTGTGAGTTGGGTTCACTGGTGGAGGAGGAAGCCGGAAAGACCTGGCAGGCCCAAGCGTGTAGTGAGGGTCTGTTGGGAACGTCTGGCGGAGCCTCTGTCAGAGGGACCTTCAACTCGCACCTCCGGGAGGACTTCTCCCGGATTCCGGGGGAGGCTGGAGATATGGAGTCCGAGTGGGCTTCATTCTCGGCCTCTATTGTCAATGCAGCTGCTCGGAGCTGTGGGCGTAAGGTCTGTGGTGCCTGTCGCGGCGGCAACCCCAGAACCCGGTGGTGGACACCGGAAGTAAGGGATGCTGTCAAGCTGAAGAAGGAGTCCTATCGGGTCTTGTTGGCTCGGGGGACTCCTGAGGCAGCTGACGGGTACCGGCGGGCCAAGCGTGCTGCAGCCCGTGTGGTCGCGGAGGCAAAAACTCGGAGCTGGGAGGAGTTCGGGGAGGCCATGGAGAAGGACTATCGGACGGCCTCAAAGAGATTCTGGCAAACCGTCCGGTGCCTCAGGAGGGGAAAGCAGTTCTTCACCAACACTGTTTACAGTGCGGGGGGAGAGCTGCTGACCTCAACTGGGGACGTTGTCCGGCGGTGGAAGGAAAACTTTGAGGATCTCCTCAATCCCACCGTCACGTCCTCCGAGGAGGAGGCCGAGGCTGGGGACTCGGAGGCGGACTCGTCCATCACCCTGGCCGAAGTCACTGAGGTGGTTGGCAAGCTCCTTGGTGGCAAGGCTCCGGGGTTGGATGAGATCCGTCCTGAGTACCTGAAGTCTCTGGATGTTGTGGGGCTGTCTTGGCTGACACGCCTCTTCAACATCGCGTGGCGGTCGGGGACAGTACCTCTGGACTGGCAAACCGGGGTGGTGGTCCCTCTGTATAAGAAGGGGGACCGGAGGGTGTGTTCCAACTATAGGGGGATCACACTTCTCAGCCTTCCCGGTAAGGTCTATGCCAGGGTACTGGAGAGGAGAATTCGGCCGATAGTCGAACCTCGGATTCAGGAGGAGCAGTGTGGTTTTCGTCCTGGCCGTGGAACACTGGACCAGCTCTACACTCTCCATCGGTGCTCGAGGGTTCATGGGATTTTGCCCAACCAGTCCACATGTGTTTTGTGGATCTGGAGAAGGCATTCGACCGTGTCCCTCGTGGTGTCCTGTGGGGGGTGCTCTGGGAGTATGGGGTCCGGGGCCCTTTGCTAAGGGCTGTCCGGTCCCTGTATGACCGGAGCAGGAGCTGTGTTCTCATTGCCGGCAGTAAGTCAGACCTGTTCCCGGTGCATGTTGGACTCCGCCAGGGCTGCCCCTGTCACTGGTTCTGTTCATTGTGTTTATGGACAGAATTTCTAGGTGCAGTCAGGGGCCGGAGGGGGTCCGGTTTGGGGACCACAGGATTTCATCTCTGCTGTTTGCGGATGATGTTGTCCTGTCGGCTTCATCGAGCCAGGACCTGCAATGTGCACTGGGGCGGTTTGACCCGAGTGTGAAGCGGCTGGGATGAGGATCAGCTCTTCCAAGTCCGAGGCCATGGTTCTCGACCGGAAAAAGGTGGCTTGCCCTCTCCGGGTGGGTGGGGAGTCTTTGCCTCAAGTGGAGGAGTTCAAGTATCTCGGGGTCTTGTTCACGAGTGAGGGGAGGACGGAACGTGAGATTGACAGGCGGATCGGTGCAGCGTCTGCAGTGATGCGGTCGCTGTATCGGTCGTTGTGGTGAAGAGGAGCTGAGTCGAAAGGCGAAGCTCTCGATTTACCGGTCAGTCTTCGTTCCTACTCTCACCTCTGGTCATGAGCTCTGGGTAGTGACCGAAAGGACGAGATCGCGGATACAAGCGCTTGAAATGAGTTTCCTCCGCAGGGTGGCTGGGCGTCTCCCTTAGAGATAGGGTGAGGAGCTCAGTCACACGGGAGAAGCTCGGAGTAGAGCCGCTGCTCCTCCACGTCGAGAGGAGCCAGTTGAGGCTCGAGCATCTGTTCCGGATGCCTCCTGGGCGCCTCCCTCAGGAGGTGTTCCGGGCATGTCCCACCGGGAGGAGGCCCCGGGGAAGACCCAGGACACGCTGGAGGGACTATGTCTCTCGGCTGGCCTGGGAACGCCTCGGGGTCCCCCGGAGGAGCTGGAGGACGTGTCTGGGGTGAAGGAAGTCTGGGAGTCCCTGCTTAGGCTGCTGCCCCCACGACCCGACCCCGGATAAGCGGAAGAAAATGGATGGATGAATGGATAGTAATGCTGCATGAACCAGTTTTCAAACAACAGAAGGAGGATGTGAGTATTAAAATTGAATGTCTGTCACTCGTCCAGGTTGGTTCCATCGCAAAAGAAAGAAGAAAGAGTACACGTGCTCACTCTCAAAACATTTTGTCCAGTTGGTTTCCAGTTTGGTGGTGAAGCCTCCTGGACCTGGTGTCCACATATGTGAACATTTATGTCCAACACATTTTAGTTTGTTCAGGCACTTCATAAATAGTTTTTGCTAATCATTATTCAACTGTGACAAAAATACAAATATTCAAATATTATAATTCTTAGTTTTTGCACTCATCAGGTCCCAATCAGCCCAAATAACAAAGAGAACCAACAAAAGCCTCGAGAGCTCGGGTCCTAGGAGGTGTAATGGAGTAAAGACGTGTGTCTGCACCCCTGAACTTTATAACCTCCACTTGATCATCTACCCGCTAAAGCCACTGCTGTTTCAAACATTGTTTTAAAGTGTGTAGCACATATTCTGTGTGAAACCATGACTCTGAAAGGAAAGAAGGACGAGCAAGAACCAGAAGATTCAGCTAGTGTTAGTGCAACTGTTGACGACCACGCAGAGCCACCAGTGATCAGATGACTGATATATGGGCTGACAAAGTTGAAGGCTAAGCTACCGGATCTCAAAGGCAGGAGCCGTCGCAACAACATCCAGATTATTGGGCTACGCCAAAAAAGCCCCAGGTCAACAGCTTTCTTCTCACAGCTGCTTTTTGAGATGTTTGGTGCTGACATCTTATCATCACCCCCGGAGTTGGACAGGGCTCACTGTTCACAGCTCGCTAATCCAAAGCTCTCAGGTGAGCCGCAGGAAGTTCTGTTATGTTTTTACCTCTTCCAAACCCGGGAGTTGGTGGTGCGGGCAGACACATCCTTCTGTACGACTGTCATACCTGGAATAGAACTATTCAATACAATGCACTGTTTGTCTTTTAATGTTAAAAATAAATAAATAAATACTTTTGCCCAGTTTACAGAACTTGTCTTTCCTCTGCTATTTAAATCTTGCTTGTTCCTAACGCTCAAACTCTTGGACACATCACTTCAGACAGAGATTTGAAGCAGTGTGGACCACATCATACAGTCACCTCCAGCGACTCTTCTGGGTTTGTGAGAAATTAGATGTAATGTAATAAGAGCTCTCAGAAACCTGCTCGGTAAGTTTCTACGTGCGTGTCAGCAACAGGTTCTACCACCTTTCTCTCATAAACTACACCAGCACAGTTTGATAAGTGTGAATGTGTTTGTAAAAGAAAAGATCTTTTGTCAGGTCACAGTGTAAACAAAACAGTAGTGACTCTATGTCCAGGTGCAGACTCACTGTTGGTGATGATCTTGGTCCGGTCCAGTCTGGTCACATAGTCGTCTTGGACCCCGGACAGTTGGAACACACAGTTGAACTTGTCCCAGTCCTCAGGGGGGACAGAGGACAGGTCCAGGGACACACTGGTCTGGAAGGTCCCGTCTCCATTGGGCAGGATCTCTCCAGGGTCCACGTCCTCCGTCACCTCCACTCCGTCTTTGGTCCAGAACAGCATGGCTCTGTCGGGGTAGAATCGTGTGGCGTGACACGTGACCGGACCTGAGGAGGACTTCTGCAGCAGAGACACCAGGGGGAGCTCTACACAACACAGGACAACACAGGACAGGTTTTTGGATTGAGGACTGTCTGGATATTTGAATATTCTTCCTGGATCACCTTTCTATTGGGCTGTAATGAGATTTTACACAATTGTGACCTGAGCTCTGCTCACATAGTTCTTCTGCCCACTCCTCCTCCAATCAGTCACTGGACTTTCAAGGTCGTCATTAATCGTACACAGACTGATCAATCCTTAAATGAATCCTGAGAATAGATACTCATCTGAACAAGTATTGATGGCCTTGACTTATATTAGAACTAGTGTAGAACTACCTGGAAATATTAAAGAAATTGTAACTATTTTATATTAGACATTGTTTTTAACTAATCATCTGTAAAGTTTCCAGCTAAATAGTTTGTACCAAAAACATGTCAGGAATTTTTTGTTTCGTGACAAAACTACTCGTTCATCAGCTCTTAGAGGTAACGTTAAACTACTTGATGTTGATGAATTGTGGTACAATCAGAAACACATCTCACCTGTTCTCAGAGTGTGTTGTCCATAAGGCAAATATTTCTTCAGTTTATCACCACAGTCATGACTCAGAAATTTTTTCCAAAAGGGTTCGTTTGTATTGTCTCGGACCCTGTTCCAGTGATCTGTGATGATTTGGGCCCAGGGAGTTAGAGCAATCCACTTCTCTAGGTTCCTGTCCAGAGAGGAAAAGTGCTCTCCATCCAAACACAACTGCAGAGTCGCACTTTTCTCCTCTGTCTCATCATCCCAGTCACACCCGGCCATCACTTGCCAAATATGTGCACCTGAAATCAGCATTTTATTTTAATACTTTATTAAAAACATTTGCTGTTCTCTGTCTTTGACCCGTCATTCAGTCTGTGCCACTGATCAGGTCAGTGGTTCAAACCCGCTCTGTTCATACTGTCGTTTGTCTTTGGCAGTCCTCAGATGATCAGGTCTGAGTAAACTAGTCACACCTGCTCAGTTACTCTTTTAATGAGGTGATGACAAGTGAACTGATGAGTGAAGAGAGTAAATACCAAACCTTGAGTCTGGTTGAGGTCTTGGAGGACTTCATTAAAAAGGATTTGTGACCGAATTTTGAAAAAAAGCAAAAGTTGTTTCTCATTTTCCAGTTTCTCTGGCGCTTCTTTAAACACTAGGTTCATCCATTCTTCTGAGAATCTGATTGTGTCCTTCCCATCATAACACGCCATCTGTACATCATTCAACTGGATCACAACAAAATAGTCTGTGAGGTTTGGGATGTGAGATGATGACGTCTCAATATATCTGAACGAGTGCATCCCTGTTGAGGAAAAGTTTGGGAACATTATTACAATACAGTGATGTGTATAATGTGTTCCTACTTGGGCTACGTTCAGACTGCAGAGCTTAATGCTTTTTTTAAGGAGGAGATTGAGAAGGAGAAGGAGCAGGTTTTTGGTGGTGGTGTTTTGTGGTGAGTGGAGATGTGCTTCACTTCAGTCACATGGATCATGAACAGTTTTCTCTACTTCAGTGCAGAATAGTGACGTTTGTGTCTTGTTGATGACGTGTAGGTGGATGAATGTGACCTGACTGTTCACACTCAAGTCACATGTTAAAGATCAGATATGGATCAGTTTCAGGAGCACAGATCCAAGTGTCCTGGTCACATGTGAAAACATCACATCTGTGTGGTTCAGACATTAAAAGATCAAATACAGGAACAAAGAGACAAAAAATCAGATTTGGGAACTTCAGGTGCAGAGTGAACGTAGCCTTGGATCACTGTAAGTCCCTCCTTGACCACACTGTGGTGAGATGAACCACAGCTGCCCAGGGACTGACTGATGGAGAAATGGCTGCAAATACCTAATTACAATTAAACCTGACATATTCAGCAAAATCAACTTTTCAGAGCTTTTAACCATGTTACAGTTGTTTCCCCTTCACCATTTACCACACAAAGTTGTATTTGAGTGATTTGTACATGTTTGAGAAATCTTGAATCGTTTATCCACATCTCCTTACTGATCTTAACTGGAGCCTAATGTAGGATTCTGCAGTGTCGCATAATCATTTTGATACAAAGGAAAAATAAAAAAATCCCCTCTCCACAGGAGGGGCCCACAGCCTGCAGTGCTTTGTTGTCATGATGTTCACGACCACGTCAGGTCCCACTGGACACCACAGTTTTCTAAGACAGAACTCAGTGCACTTGTTTCTTTAATGAAGTTGTTTTAAATGAATATATTAAAAAATGTAGCAAACACAACCACAATGTTTACTTAAAAAAAAAAAAAAAGGAAAAATGTCATGCCCAAAGGTACAACAGCAGTATGTTTTAAATGTACTAAACTTGGGATTTTTACACAACCTAAAACAGGACTAAATCTCTATGTTGTACTGTCTTAAAGAAGCAGCATTATATTCAGACTGCAGCCTTAATATCACAATAAACAACAACATGAAGGTCTTAAAGATTACATCATGGTTAACTTACGTGTTCTTCTGAATAATTTAACCAAAAAAAAAAAAAACTCACTTGATGTTGCATAATGAAGTGTTTGAAAAAGAAAAATTATGAGACAGATCCTCGCGGTGAACATTCTGAAATGTTTTAAAAACGTGTTCCTGTGGTGAAGACTCGGGACTAAGTTTGGGAGGGACAGAGACGGCTCATGCCAAAAGGAGCCGAACGGGTTTAGACAAATTGGCAGTAAAAGTTTTCCTCATTCCTCATTTACTTATCAGTTCAAGCAGAAATAAAATGGAATAAAATTGTAATAGTACAGTGTCGGTGAAGCTCTGCCTCTGGAGGCGTCGGACAGTTTGCCAGAATTTCTTTGAGGCTGACAAATAGTCCTCCTCTGTGGCCTCTTTAAACTCCTCTCAGCCCTGAGATTTTGCCAAACCGCACAGGCTGCAGCACACCTGACCTTTCTGCTGCCTCAGGAGTCCCACGAACCAAAAAAGTTTGATTCAGCCTGACGGTATCTCATATTTCCAAACTACTCATACTCCATGTCCCCAGTACTTTTTTTCTAGGCTGAAAAAAATAACTTCTTGCTCTTTTCTCCCTCCTCAAACGGTTTGGCTCATGACATGTCATTTACTCACCTTTGTTCAGTTACTGGTGTAATTCCAAATTTGTCCAGTAGATGTCGGTAATGGCACAATTAAGACAGAAGGGTCATGAGAAGACGTTACTCAGCAAAGCTCTTTGTGTCTTTACAGAAATTATTATTATTTTTTTATTCATCTTCCCGATTTTATTATAGTTCTATGATTTTTTTTTATTCATTTTTTTTATTAACAGTTAAATCGAGATGGCAGTTTCAAATCACATACGTACAACAATTTGCTTTCTCTTTCACTTCAGATATTTGTCTTTGATAGTATTGAAATATTTTTATATTATTATATTATATATATTTTTTTCCCTTATTCCATTAAGGATACAAAAAAAGAACAAAAAAAAAAAAAGAACACTTGAACACTTGAGTAGCAGTGCACAGGGATTGTCACTTTTTTTTTTTTTTTTTTTTAATCATGTTCGGGTGTTAATAAAGTCTTTCCATGGTTTCCAGCCGTCCTCACACCTGTCGTATTCCAGTCTTTGTGCGAGTGTCTTTCCATTTGTGAAATGTCTTCGACAACGTTAATCCAGTCCTCCAAGTTTGGTAGTTTGTCCCTCATCCATTTTTGGTTATTGCTTCTTTAACAGAAACTAAAGTCAAACAGTTACACACAGAAGATGGTGCAGCTGAACAGATCTGGGCTCATTTGAAGGTCTGAAGTGTCAAGACTCAAGAAAACAGCAGGTGGTCCTTTTTACTGTTCAGAAGAGACGAGCTGTTGTGGGAAACGTGCATCACTTGTTGCAGATGACAGTGGCTGATTTGATTTGAACGAAACTTTGAGACCTTCTATCAAAGATCATGTTTGTCCAAGAGAATTGTGGGTCTGAAAAACTCAAAGTCTAGTTTTCAGTAAAGAAAACATAAATATATATAAACAGCACAGCCTCGACCCACTGTAAACAACAGGAAAACATGTCAGCAATGAGTAAAAGACACATTTTAGTCATAAACTCTTGATCAATTTCACTTGTTTTATTGTTGTAGTTCAGCCACAATCAACTTTAACTCATTATGTGGTTAAAATAAATATGTACAAATGTTGGCTTCATTTTACAACAACAGAACAATTACATTTTTTATTTTTATTTTTTTTATGAATAGAATAATTCTAATTACATAGAAACAAGTGTGATTTATCTTACTACTTCAAAATTTACCTCAAGAATCGTTAATCCAGGGAAAGTGAAAAACTACTACCGATACTTCTGTTTGTTTAAGCCGCACTTTTGCGTCTCATCCTCCATCTGCGCTGCGCAGAAACAACATCAGGAGCGGATCAGGAGCGCACAAGAGCGGACCAGAAGCGTACACTAGAGTAGATCAGGAGCAGACGAGAAGCGCATCAGAAGCGTACACAGGAGAGCATCAGGAGCGAACCAGGAGCGGACCAGAAGCGCACATAGGAGAGAATCAGGAGTGAACCAGAAGCGAACACATGAGCGAACCAGGAGCGTTCCAAAGCGGACACAGGAGAGTATCAGGAGCGAACCAGAAGCGGAATAGAAGCGTACACAGGAGGGGATCAGAAGCGGAATAGAAGCGCACACAGGAGAGTATCAGGAGCGTACCAGAAGCGAACACACGAGCGAACCAGATGCGCACCAGAAGCGTAAACAGGAGAGCATCAGGAGCGAACCAGGAGCGGAGTTGGAGCGCATCAGAGGCGGTCCAGGAGCGCATCAGAGGCGGTCCAGGAGCGCATGAGGAGCGGAGTTGGAGCGCATCAGAGGCGGTCCAGGAGCGCATGAGGAGCGGACACGGGGAGCAGGCGGAGACTGAGGAAAAACGGTGCGTTCTGGAGACGGCTAGCGGCGCGCGGCTAAACCATCCGCGTCCCAAAACCAACTCTCTCCTCGGATTCACCCGTTTTCACGCAGGTACAGCCTCACGGACGCTTTAAACACGCGCGTATCTGTCATTTCTCACAGTTAAAGTGTGTAACTTTAGAATGTTTCTTTTGTTTTGACCTGTTTTTTCCACGCGAGACAGTTAGCTTCCCCGTTAGCATTAGCTCCAGCTGGGTCCACATAGGATGAAATTGGCTGTCACTAATTTGCCTAATCTCGTTTACTTTCGCTTTTTTACGCCTTTATTGTAAAACATGAGCGTGCAGACGTGACGTATCATTGTCAAAGACGGGTTTTCGTGACGGTAATGACGGTAAATGAGCTAAAAGTGTAAGGCAAAGCTGCATTTTGGTGTTGTTTACCGTGCGTAATGACCAGGTACGACTCGGGTTATTTGTACGCGTCCTCACAAGTGACATTTATCCAATTTGCAGGAAAAAATAGACACGTTTCGTCCTTAAATGTCCCTTTTGTGAGCAGAAAACTACCCGAGCTGTAACGGGATAATTACAGGGTCAGTGACGCTCTGTTTTGTTCTTCACATTCTGTTTTTTTTTTTTTTTTTTTTTTTTTTTTTCTAGAGTCAAATTCAGGAGGAGAAAAAAAAAAACTAAACTTTGTAAATGAAATACAGAGAGTTACAGAGGAAATATACAGATGTAATTACAGCCTGTGAGTCAAAACTCTCGTTCAGTCCTGGTTTAGATCTGGTTTAGATCTGGTGTAGACCTGGTTTAGACCTGGTACACAACTGGTTTAGTCCCTGGTTTAGTCCTGGAGTAGACGTGGTTTAGATCTGGCTTAGTCATGGTTTAGATCTGGTTTGGACTTGCTTTTGTTGTGGAATAGACCTGGTTTGTCTTTGTTTAGACCCAGTTTAGTCCCAGAGTAGTCCTGGTTTAAACCTGGTTTAGACCTGGTTTAGATATGATTTAGTCCTGGAGTAGACCTAGTGTAGACCTGGTTTTGTCCTGGTTTAGATCTGGAGTAGACCTGGTTTAGTCGTGATTTAGACCTGGTACAGAACTGGTTTAGTCCTGGAGTAGACGTGGTTTAGATCTGGTTTGGTCTTGCTTTTGTTGTGGAATAGACCTGGTTTAGACCTGGTTTAGATATGGTTTAGTCCTGGAGTAGACCTAGTGTAGACCTGGTTTAGACCTGGTTTTGTCCTGGTTTAGATCTGGTTTAGACCTGGTTTAGATATGGTGTAGATCTGGAGTAGACCTGGTTTAGATCTGGTTTAGACCTTAGACCTGGTTTAGATCTGGTTTAGACCTGGTTTAGATCTGGTTTAGACCTGGTTTAGATCTGGCTTAGTCATGGTTTAGATCTAGTTTGGTCTTGCTTTTGTTGTGGAATAGACCTGTTTTAGACCTGGTTTAGATCTGATTTAGTCCTGGAATAGACCTGGTTTGTCCTTGTTTAGACCCGGATTAGTCCCTGGTTTAGTCCTGGACTAGACTTGGTGTAGTTCTTGTTTAGCCCTGAAGTAGAACTGGTTTAGTCCTGGTTTAGAACTGGTTTTGTCCTGGTTTAGACCTAGAATAGAGCTGGTTGAGTTCTTGTTTATACCTGGTTTAGACTTGGTTTAATCCTGGTGTAGTCCTGGTTTAGTCCTGGTTTAGTCCTGGTTTAGACCTGGTGTAGACTTGGGGTAGTCCTGGTTTAGACCTGGATAACTCCTGGTTTAGTCCTGGTTTAGACCTGCTTTAGAACCAGTTTAGACCTGGTTTAGTCCTGGATTATTTCCTTACGTGTTGACAAGAACATAATTTGTAAGCAGAAGAAACTTAACAAAGCTAGAGAATTTGTTCAAAAATTGTTCAGAATCAGTTTTAGGAAGAAATACATAAACACAAAAACTAGTTGAGGCCAGAGGCGACTGAGTGATGAATGAAATGAACAGACTCTACATAAAGTGTGAGCTTCTCTCGTGGACGACTCCTGAGGAGGGTTTCACTCACTGTGTGTGTTTCACTCTGTGTGTGTTTGAGACGACATCGTTTTTGTTTTTTTGTATGAACAAATGTGTTGAGATTAGTGATGCAACAATAACCAAAATCTGGTGATATCGTATCGTCAAAGTTCTCTCAATAATATCGTGGAGCATCACAATAAATCGAATCACAAGTGTCTTTGTTTAAATGAAGAGTTAAAAACACAGAGGAACTACATAGACCATGATCCTTTGCTCCATTTCAGTGCAGACGACAAGAAGAAATAAGAGTTTTGACACTTTTAAATCTTATTTCTTTGGATTAAGTTTTGTCAAGGACTTTTAAGAGGAAAAAGTTGAATATTAACAGTTTTGTTCGCAGCCTCCACAAAATATCACAATAAATATGGTCCTGTGAGGTTCAGACTGTGACGATATCGTATCGTAAGACTTGGATATCGTCACAACCGTAGTTGAGATATATTGTTACTTGCGTGTGGACAATATATATAATGAAAAACTTTTTGTTTTTTTAATATAAATGGGTCCAGACAAGTGTTAACGGAGGAAACAGGGTCAGATTTTTGACATTCAAATGTCTCTTATTCAGAAACTAGAGGAACTATTGAAATAAGTAAAGTATCAGAATGTAGGAAAGAGTTACACTCCAACAGGGTCAAGTTAAACCTGTGAGATTCTTTCAAGTTCAACACAAAAAATAAAAAAACTCATGTCGGTAACGGAGGGAATGAAATATGCAGCACTTTTTGGTCAATAAATCCAAACAGTGATAACTCTTGGTTCTCACTTCCATATCCTTAACAAACTGGTTTGAATATTTGCTTCATATAGTTTTCTACCATATGGTACAAGATTAGGTTGAAAAACCTCTGACTTTTTGACTCATGAGATTTTTTATTAAGAAAGTTCATGGTAACGGAGGGAAAAGTAACGGAGGGAAAATTGTACAAACAAGTAGAAGGTGCAGGATTTTACATCATTTGTGGCTTTTTTCTTCTGAAAAACTTTAATATTACTTCAAAATGAAAGAAACTATTTCTATAAAATATGTCAGTCCTTCCAACAACATTTTTATCATTTTAAATACTTTTTTTTTTTTTAAATCCTGTCCCTTCATCAACAGTTCAAAGATGGAATAACACAAGATATGATGAAATACAAACATTTATTTACATGATTTTCAGGTCTTTGAAATTTGGGAAATAATTTTTGTTCCATGTTTCATTCATGGTCTGTTTAAAACAGATGGAACTTTAGAACCAAAAATGGAACAGAAAAAAGGTCAACAGTTTGATAAACTCGAGTACATATGTATCTGTTCAATACATTTTTATATCAGATGAATTCACTTTTTGAGTTTTTGGCCTTGTTGTTTACTTCTGCTGGACCGGGCCTTTATGTATGCAGATGAACTAACTTAGTTTCATAAAGGGTACAATTTAGGGGGACTTTCCAGCCAGGGGGACTTTCCAGCTGGTTCCCCTCACATCAGATTTTGCAGTTTGTCATTTTGATCATGTTAAAGGTCCAAAAATCTTTCACTGTTTCCAAACCAAAGTGTGGCAGAGCAGATGATTTTTGTTCTGAGTTATTCATCGTCAGGTCGGTGTTTAAAAATGTTTTAAAATGTTTTTCACTGCAGTCATTTTAAATTACATCAGAGCTGCTCCTCAAACTGTTCTCCTCAGATGTTTCTCCATGTTAGAGTCGTTTTAACTGTTCTCCTCAGATGTTTCTCCATGTTAGAGTCGTTTGAACTGTTCTCCTCAGATGTTTCTGGTGTCATAAATTGGAAGTATGACAGAAACAAACCCTGACGCTCTGATTTAAGATCCACTTTTATAATAATTGGACTTCAGATGATTGTAAATGTAAATGAGACTCGGCTGAATCGTTTCCCGTGGAGAAACTTTTCACTAAGAAGATTTAACTCGCAGCAGCTCACAGCTTTTTCATCCGAGGAATTTAACCCCATTTTACACAAAGAATCTGTGACCTGGATTCTTAAAACCTCGTATAGTCCTGGTTTAGTCCTGGTTTAGTTCTGGTTTTAGTGCTGGTTTAGTCCTGGTGTAGTCCTGGTTTAGACTTGGTTTATTCTTGGTTTAGTCCTTGGTTTAGACCTGGTTTAGTCTTGGTTTAGACTTGGTTTAGTCCTTGGTTTAGACCTGGTTTAGACCTTGTTTAGTCCTTGGTTTAGACCTGGTTTAGTCTTGGTTTAGACTTGGTTTAGTCCTTGGTTTAGACCTGGTTTAGACCTTGTTTAGTCCTTGGTTTAGACCTGGTTTAGTCTTGGTTTAGACTTGGTTTAGTCCTTGGTTTAGACCTGGTTTAGACCTTGTTTAGTCCTTGGTTTAGACCTGGTTTAGTCTTGGTTTAGTCCTTGGTTTAGACCTGGTTTAGTCTTTGGTTTAGTCTTTGGTTTAGACCTGGTTTAGTCCTGGTTTAGTCCTGGTTTAGTTCTTCGAGCTCTGTGTCTCGTCTGTGTGGTGTATGATGATGTTGGTGATGTTCCTCCTGACCAGAGGTTCCGTGGTCCGGTTCTCGTTTTTCACTCGCGTCTCGGTGTTGTTTGTTTTTCAGAACTGTGGGCTGACGATGCAGCGTGGACATGGAGGCTCCTGAGTACCTGGACCTGGACGAGATCGACTTCTCCGACGATTCTGTGGTCAGTGAACGCACCGCCACATTCAGTACACGATCACACACTGTCCTCTGTCCTCATGTGGTTTATACTGAGACTACATGTCCCATAATCCTCTGCTCTCTGTCCTCATGTGGTTTATACTGAGACTACATGTCCCATAATCCTCTGCTCTCTGTCCTCATGTGGTTTATACTGAGACTACATGTCCCATAATCCTCTGCTCTCTGTCCTCATGTGGTTTATACTGAGACTACATGTCCCATAATCCTCTGCTCTCTGTCCTCATGTGGTTTATACTGAGACTACATGTCCCATAATCCTCTGCTCTCTGTCCTCATGTGGTTTTCTCGTCACACACAGACACACTGCAGTTGTGTTTTGTTTCATTCACACATTTAACACACAAACCTACGGAAGTCGAGAGGGTCACGACAAACGCAAAGGCCACAACACATACAAATACGACAACACAACAAAAAAAGCCACAACAAACCAAAAAAAGCCACAACGGAAATGACAGTGGGACTCTATTTTAATGCAAATGCCGCAACAAATACAAACGTGACAATACAAACACAAATGCCACAACACATTAAAAAGCCACGACACATTAAAAAGACATGACACATTAAAAAGCCACAACACATTAAAAAGCCACAGCACATCAAAAAGCCACGACACATTAAAAAGCCACAGCACATCAAAAAGCCACAGCACATCAAAAAGCCACAGCACATCAAAAAGCCACGACACATTAAAAAGCCACAGCACATCAAAAAGCCACAACACATTAAAAAGCCACAACACATTAAAAAGCCACAACACATTAAAAAGCCACAGCACATCATTTCTTTTGTTGTTGTATTTATGAGGACCCCCTTGAAAATGAGATGGTGACACATCTCAAGGGGCTTATCCTCCAAACAAATAAATTCAAATTCAATTAATCAAAAAGCCACAACACATTAAAAAGCCACGACACATTAAAAAGTCACAAGACAAACGCAAATGCCACAACACATTAAAAAGCCACAACACAAACGCAAAAGCCACAACACATTAAAAAGCCACAACACAAATGCAAAAGCCACAACACATTAAAAAGCCACAACACAAACGCAAAAGCCACAACACATTAAAAAGCCACAACACAAACGCAAAAGCCACAACACGGCTCAATCTTCTGTCTCTTGGTTTCTCCTCCATGTTCCTCACACAGGTTTTCTTTGTTTATTTAGTTTATTTTCTCACATGTGACCAGATGAACCTGCTCATGACTAAGTTTTACTTTTCGGTTCCTGAACCTTCTGATTTTCGGTGTGAACACGTTAGTTGGTTTGAGATTAGGTGCTGGAACTGGCACCGGCACGATTCTGTCGACCTGAAAACTCTAAAGGTGGAACAGAGCACACAAACACAAACACACACACACACACACACACAGAGGACGGTGTTTCAAAATGTGTTTTTCATGTTTTGTTTTTTCAGTATTCTGTGTCGTCTCTGAAGAACATCCCTGAGCTGTCGAGGAGGAGCGATGGAGCCGAGGACAGAGGTCTGACGTTTAAAGATGCAGAGATTAAACGAAACGTAAAACCTGTAAACGTCTGTTTATGTTGCGTGTGTGTTTGTCCTCAGCCCCGTCCGTCCCCTGGAGCCGCGGGGTTTCTGCTCACGCCTTGTCCGAGGTCCACAGTAAGTTCAGGCCGGTCAAACGAGTGTCTCCCCTGAAGCACCAGCCGGAGTCCGACCCGGGCGCCGACCCGAGCGCCGAGCCCCAGGACGCCAAACCCGCCGCCGCCACAGACGCCGCTAAAGATGAGCCCGAGAAACCGCCGTGCGCCCAAACCGCCGGGTCGACCGCGCCCGGGCCGCACGCCGCCCGCCCGCCCGCCGAGCTCAAACACAAACCCGCCGGCGCCCCCCACGGTCTGTTTGGGGAACTGGAGCACTACGACCTGGACATGGACGAGATCCTGGACGTGCCCTACATCAAGTCCAGCCCCATGTCCACCACCCTGCCCCGGGCCGCACAGGTCAGAGGTCACACCGGGTCACACCGGGTTACACAGAGGTCATACAGAGGTCACACCAGGTCACACAGAGGTCACACCGGGTCACACAGAGGTCACACCAGGTCACACAGAGGTCATGCAGGGGTTACAAAGGGTCATACCGGGTCACACCAGGTCACACAGAGGTCACACCGGGTCATACAGAGGTCACACCAGGTCACACCGGGTCACGCAGAGGTCACACATAGGTCACACAGAGGTCACACCAGGTCACACAGAGGTCATGCAGGGGTTACACAGGGTCATACCGGGTCACACCAGGTCACACAGAGGTCACACCGGGTCATACAGAGGTCACAACAGGTCACACAGAGGTCACATAGGGTCACACCGGGTCACACAGAGGTCACACAGGGTCTTACCGGGCACACCAGGTCACACAGAGGTCACACCGGGTCATGCAGAGGTCACACAGAAGTCACACCGGGTCATGCAGAGGTCACACAGAGGTCACACCGGGTCATGCAGAGGTCACACAGAGGTCACACCGGGTCATGCAGAGGTCACACAGAGGTCACACAGAAGTCACACCGGGTCATGCAGAGGTCACACAGAGGTCACACCGGGTCATGCAGAGGTCACACAGAGGTCACACCGGGTCATGCAGAGGTCACACAGAGGTCACACTGGGGTCACACCGGGGTCAGAAACATCATACAAGTTTTATTTTTTGTCAGTTCTCCGACGCTGTAGATCAGTGGTTCATAAAGTGAGGTTCCCAAAAATTGTGATACAACTGTGACATAAATACTACAGTTTCTCATTACCGTAATTTCCAGACTATTGAGTGCACCTGAATATAAACCGCAGGTGTCCACGTCTTCAAGAAGGTTTTCAAGTTTGGGTCGTCTGCTTTTATCGCCTCTGAAAGTTTTTGTCATTTTTTTGCATCGACTCACTTCCTGTCCGTCTTCACATCCGTCACCGCTGATTTAAAAGCTGCATCATCTGCATTTCCTCGTGTGTTTTTCATGAGGAGTGTGTGTGTATGAAGCACAAAATAACAGTTTAAAACACAAACAGAATCTTCCTCAGCGAAGACTGTCGCTCCCCGCGCTCACGACAGCAGACAGCCCTCAGTGTCTCAGTGTGTGTCTCAGTGTGTGTCTCAGTGTTTGTCTCAGTGTTTGTCTCAGTTTGTCTCAGAGTTTGTCTCAGTGTTTGTCTCAGTGTTTGTCTCAGTGTTTGTCTTAGTGTGTGTCTCAGTGTTTGTCAGTGTTTGTCTCAGTGTTTGTCTCAGTGTTTGTCTTAGTGTTTGTCTCAGTGTTTGTCTTAGTGTGTGTCTCAGTGTTTGTCTCAGTGTTTGTCTCAGTGTTTGTCTCAGTGTTTGTCTCAGAGTTTGTCTCAGTGTTTGTCTCAGTGTTTGTCTCAGTGTTTGTCTCAGCGTTTGTCTCAGCATTTGTCTCAGAGTTTGTCTCAGAGTTTGTCTCAGTGTTTGTCTCAGAGTTTGTCTCAAAGTTTGTCTCAGAGTTTGTCTCAGTGTTTGTCTCAGTGTTTGTCTCAGAGTTTGTCTCAGTGTTTGTCTCAGAGTTTGTCTCAAAGTTTGTCTCAGAGTTTGTCTCAGTGTTTGTCTCAGTGTTTGTCTCAGAGTTTGTCTCAGTGTTTGTCTCAGAGTTTGTCTCAAAGTTTGTCTCAGAGTTTGTCTCAGTTTGTCTCAGAGTTTGTCTCAGAGTTTGTCTCAGTGTTTGTCTCAGAGTTTGTCTCAAAGTTTGTCTCAGAGTTTGTCTCAGTGTTTGTCTCAGTGTTTGTCTCAAAGTTTGTCTCAGCGTTTGTCTCAAAGTTTGTCTCAGTGTTTGTGTCAGTGTTTGTCTCAGTGTTTGTCTCAGAGTTTGTCTCAGTGTTTGTCTCAGTGTTTGTCTCAGTGTTTGTCTCAGTGTTTGTCTCAGTGTTTGTCTCAGTGTTTGTCTCAGTGTTTGTCTCAGTGTTTGTCTCAGTGTTTGTCTCAGTGTTTGTCTCAGTGTTTGTCTTGTAATGTTCAGGGGACATATGTTAAAACCAGTTCTTTGGGTCAAAATGAGGCCGTCGTGTTCTGTTTGCGTCTGAAAGTGTTTCATCGCGCTCAAACCTGAAAGTAACACAGGTGTTCTGTTAGCATGCTAGTGAAAGTGATATCCTCCTGGTTTTGAATAAATCGTCTGCTCAGAGTGAGTAAAGTGACTCTGATTTGGAGTTGTGTTGTGGTGTTGTTGTGTTTGTTGTTCGTGCAGGAGAAGAGGAGCGCGGGAGGCAGCAGTGTGAGCGCCGCCGGGACCCTGGAGAGGAACCAGAGGGGCCCCAAAGCCTCGTCTCTGCCCCACACCGAGGCTCTGTCCCTGGGCAGCAGCAGCAGTGCGCAGACGCCGGTGAGGACGACCAGGGACTCCAGGGACCAGGGACTTGAGGGACCAGGGACTCCAGGGACCAGGGACTTGAGGGACCAGGGACTTGAGGGACCAGGGACTCCAGGGACCAGGGACTTGAGGGACCAGGGACCAGGGACAGGGACCAGGACTTGAGGACCAGGGACCAGGGACCAGGGACTCCGGGACCAGGGATTTGAGGGACCAGGGACTCCAGGAATCAGGGACTTGAGGGACCAGGGACTTGGGACCAGGGACTCCAGGGACCAGGGACTTGAGGGACCAGGGACTCCAGGGACCAGGGACTTGAGGGACCAGGGACTCCAGGGACTCCAGGGACCAGGGACTCCAGGGACCAGGGACTTGAGGGACCAGGGACTCCAGGGACCAGGGACTTGAGGGACCAGGGACTCCAGTGACCAGGGACTTGAGGGACTAGGGACTCCTGGGACCAGGGATTTGAGGGACCAGGGACTCCAGGAATCAGGGACTTGAGGGACCATCGACTCCAGGGACCAGGGACTTGAGGGACCAGAGTTATGGTTCAGAACTTCAGGTCATGACTGGAAATGTCCACAGGGAATAAAAAAACTGACACAAAGACCAACCTCTGTCAGGAGGAAGAAACTAAAGGTTTAGACCAGAACTGTAATGATAACAGATTTTACTGGACGATTAACTGATCAAGAAATTACTGCGATAAACGATCATATTGACATTTTGAGACCAATTTCAACTAATATAAAGATCAAGGAATAAAAATGTAAATACATCCTTTCAAAGATCAAAAAACTTTACTTTCTAAAGAACATCACACGACAAACAAAAACAACAGACCTAAATAAATCAGACGTGTTCACATAAGAACAGCCTCATGTGTCTGACTCACAGCGAGGACAAAACCAAAACACACAACCAAAACAATAAATAAATAGATTATTAAGTCTCTGTAACAAAATTGTTCTTAAAAATGATTTTAGTCTTTGAGTTACTGGAATATTGTCATGGCAGCGTAGGTACTGCTGCTATAGGGTCACGTGACGGTGCAAAGCCTCTATAGTGTAACAGATGCTCCAAAACCCAAACTGTGCTTGAATATGTGCAGAAGATCAAATGTGACAAGAGTTATTTTACATCAGATGGACGTTTAACCTGCGACACAGGATCCTGTTTGTGTCTGAGGGAGTCTCTGTTCTGTCTGGTGTCGTGTCTGTGTCTTGTGGGATTTCAGACTCTCTCAGGGGATAGACTCGCTGTGTCAGTCGGGTTTGGGTTTATGTCGGCTTTTTGGGGTTTGAGACGTTTCTTCTCGTCGTTTGCGTTTCGCTCGTCTGAATTTGGCGCGTGTGGGTCGTCGAGACGTGTCCCTCTCACTCGAGTTGATTTGGCATCATGACGTGTTTTGTCACACGTAGATGAAATGTTTTGGTTCTGATTGCGGCGCTTTCTGCTGCGCACATCCACTGTGTTCATGAACAAATAATCTGTCTAGTCTAAACTGGCACATTTATTCAAGCATCATTACCTGAATTAAACGAGAGGAGTCAGAGAACCACAGAATCCTTTTGACATTCAGGCTCTTTAAGAGAGAAACAAGGAAAACAAACAAGTAAATAGAATTTATCACGACTGGAAAAGTTATCGAGCTCGTTAAAAGCTATTGTACGATTCATTGATTTATTGATTATTGTTACAGAACTAGTTTAGACCTGGTTTAGTCCTGGTTTAGACCTGGTTTAGTCCTGGTTTAGACCTGGTTTAGTCCTGGTTTTAGACCTGGTTTAGTCCTGGTTTAGACCTGGTTTAGTCCTGGTTTAGACCTGGTTTAGTCCTGGTTTAGACCTGGTTTAGTCCTGGTTTAGTCCTGGTTTAGACCTGGTTTAGTCCTGGTTTAGTCCTGGTTTAGACCTGGTTTAGACCTGGTTTAGACCTGGTTTAGTCCTGGTTTAGTCCTGGTTTTAGACCTGGTTTAGTCCTGGTTTTAGTCCTGGTTTAGACCTGGTTAGACCTGGTTTAGACCTGGTTTAGTCCTGGTTTAGTCCTGGTTTAGACCTGGTTTAGACCTGGTTTAGACCTGGTTTAGACCTGGTTTAGTCCTGGTTTAGTCCTGGTTTAGTCCTGGTTTAGACCTGGTTTAGTCCTGGTTTAGTCCTGGTTTAGACCTGGTTTAGACCTGGTTTAGTCCTGGTTTAAACCTGGTTTAGACCTGGTTTAGTCCTGGTTTAAACCTGGTCTTATTCTCTTCTCTCTTTTCCCCCCACATCCCTCTCTTTTTTTTTTCATCCTCATTTCTCTCTCCATCTCACTCCTCTGTTCTTTCTTTTGTATTCATCTCTCCTCCTCTCTTCTCCTCCGTCTCGTCTCTTCTTCTCTCAGTTCTGCGTCCTTTCTCCGGTGAAATGGTCTGACCTGAGGAAGTCTCGCTCCGTGGATCCAGACCTCCATCACCTCCAGCGCTCAGGGGCCTCGGCCGGAGCCTTCACCCCCACAGAGGTGCACTGCTCTGGGCTGCTCAGCTGCTCCTCCTCCCTGTCCTCCTTCTCTGACACCGGATCTCACTCAGGTACAAGAACTAAACCAGGACTAAACCAGGACTAAACCAGGACTAAACCAGGACTGAACCAGGACTAAACCAGGACTGAACCAGGACTAAACCAGGACTAAACCAGAACTAAACCAGGACTGAACCAGGACTAAACCAGGACTGAACCAGGACTAAACCAGGTCTAAACCGTGTCTGTTTTGTTTCTTCTCTCCACAGAAAAGCTCTTGTCCGCTCGCGTGTTTCCGGACGTCCAGAGGGCCGGGGGTGAAGCAGGGGGCTCGGGTCTGATGTTTGCCCAGGGAGGGTGCGCCGTGACCAGGCAGGACCCGTCCAAACCCTGGACCCCCGGAGGACCTGCTCCAGAGATGGACGAGGAGACCAAGAGGAACCAGAACATCCTCAACATCGTCAGAGAAGGACAGATCTCTCTGCTGGTCAGTCCTGGTTTAGTCCTGGTTTAGTCCTGGTTTAGTCCTGGTTTAGTCCTGGTTTAGTCCTGGTTTAGTCCTGGTTTAGTCCTGGTTACCTCCGCCAAGGAGGTTATGTTTTTGCCGGCGTTTGTCTGTTTGTTTGTTTGTTTGTTTGTTTGTCTGTTAGCAACATAACTCAAAAAGTTATGGACCGATTTTGATGAAATGTTCAGGATTTGTTGGAAATGTGAAAAGGAAGAACTGATTTCATTTTGGGGCTGATCCGGAAGAAATCCTGGATTCTGGATCACTTTGAAATTTTAGTTAACATTGTGGTAAATGGGGCCAAAAATGTAGTTTCTCAATATCTCGATTAATTATTGACCAAACCCCATGAAATTGTGACTCAGGGATGGACAATGGGATCCTCTTTCATATTCCAAATTGAAAGATACGAGACAAATATTTATGGAAAACACAATTAATATGAGGGGGACTGTAGTCCTTGGCGGAGTCTGCGCTCTCTGACTGCTTTTCTAGTTTAGTCCTGGTTTAGTCTTGGTTTAACCAGGAAGAGAATGAAACTCCAGTGAAGGACTTGAAAATAAATCCTTCCCACTGTTTTCACTGTCTTCACAGTTTTGTGTAAAGTGTCAGTGAAAGTGAGATTAAAGAAGAGGTTTTCAAACTGTGGGTGAGGGTCAAACAAGAGGATTTTCCTGGTGTTTACAGTTTTATTGTTTCATCAAAATGTTTTAGTGCAACTTTGGTGAAGTGAAGCTGCTCCTCTGTACATCTGTGTGTGACCTGCAGATTTATAATGTGTGAAAAGTTTCACATGAACCAATAACATGACAGAAACACAGAACAGACTGAGCATCAGCAGAACACCCCTCTGACACAGAGAGAACACCCCTCTGTCACAGAGAGAACACCCCTCTGTCACAGAGAGAACACCCCTCTGACACACAGAGAGACACCCTCTGTCACAGAGAGAACACCCCTCTGTCACAGAGAGAACACCCCTCTGACACAGAGAGAACACCCTCTGTCACACAGAGAGAACACCCCTCTGTCACAGAGAGAACACACCCTCTGACACAGAGAGACACCCCTCTGTCACAGAGAGACACCCCTCTGTCACAGAGAGAACACCCCTCTGTCACAGAGAGAACACCCCTCTGTCACAGAGAGAGAACACCCCTCTGTCACAGAGAGAACACCCCTCTGACACACAGAGAACACCCCTCTGTCACAGAGAGAACACCCCTCTGTCACACAGAGAACACCCCTCTGTCACACAGAGAGAACACCCCTCTGTCACAGAGAGAACACCCCTCTGACACAGAGAGAACACCCCTCTGTCACAGAGAGAACACCCCTCTGACACAGAGAGAACACCCCTCTGTCACAGAGAGAACACACCCCTCTGACACAGAAGAACACCCCTCTGACACAGAGAGAACACCCTCTGAACACACACAGAGAGAACACCCCTCTGTCACAGAGAGAACACCCCTCTGTCACAGAGAGAACACCCCCTCTGACACAGAAGAGAACACCCCTCTGTCACAGAGAGAAACACCCTCTGACACAGAGAGAACACCCTCTGTCACAGAGAGAACACCCCTCTGACACAGAGAACACCCTCTGACACACCCCTCTGTCACACAGAGAGAACACCCCTCTGTCACAGAGAGAACACCCCTCTGACACAGAGAGAACACCCCTCTGTCACACAGAGAGAACACCCCTCTGACACAGAGAGAACACTCATATTCCACTGAGTCGTGTCCTTTAGTCCAACACAAACTGAACCACATCAGACACAAGGAAAGAACCGTTTTTTTCACACACATTAGTTTATGGAAATGAGTCGTGTGGTTTAAGTTTAGTTTGTGTAAAACGTAAACAAATGTGTCCTCGAAGAAAAATTGCTGCAGAAGTAAAAGTACTAGTGTTTTTTTTTTGTTTTTGGACCAACTCTCTTGTGTCGGACTTGTCGTCTTGTCTTTGTTTTCCTCATGAGCGTCACGTCAACAAAACGAAGTGAACATCGTCTCGTTCGTCACAGTTGCATCAGTTTTATCCAGCGCGTTTTTGGACTTTCAAGACACTTTACCGAGCAGCCGTCATTCACTCCAGACCCGGCGGAGGAAACTACTACTGTAAACTACTACTGTAAACTACTACTGTAAACTACTACTGTAAACTACTACTGTAAACTACCACTACTGTAAACTACTACTGTAAACTACCACTGTAAACTACCACTGTAAACTACTACTGTAAACTACTACTGTAAACTACTACTGTAAACTACTACTGTAAACTACCACTGTAAACTACTACTGTAAACTACTACTGTAAACTACTACTGTAAACTACCACTGTAAACTACTACTGTAAACTACTACTGTAAACTACTACTGTAAACTACCTACTGTAAACTACTACTGTAAACTACCACTGTAACTACTAACTACTGTAAACTACTGTAAACTACTACTGTAACTACTGTAAACTAACTACTGTAAACTACACTGTAAAAACTACCACTGTAAACTACTACTGTAAACTACCTACTGTAACTACTACTGTAAAAACTACTACTGTAAACTACCACTGTAAACTACTACTGTAAACTACCACTGTAAACTACTACTGTAAACTACCACTGTAAACTACCACTGTAAACTACTACTGTAAACTACCACTGTAAACTACCACTGTAAACTACCACTGTAAACTACCACTGTAAACTACTACTGTAAACTACCACTGTAAACTACCACTGTAAACTACTACTGTAAACTACCACTGTAAACTACCACTGTAAACTACTACTGTAACTACTACTGTAAACTACTACTGTAAACTACTACTACTACACACACACACCACTTTCATACTCGGCAATGTGGGTGAAGTGTCTTGCCTAAGGACACAGCAACAGTTTTTTTTTTGTTTTTGTGACTGGCGCCTCCTGTGGCTCCTGATTTTCCCAGTGTCTCCTGAGCGTCTGAGATCTGACGGGATCAGGCTTTGACAAACCGGTGCGGCTACAAGAAGAGTTAAAAGAAACATTATAGACACTGTTAGTTTTAAATCGTAAAATATTAAACTGAAAACACAAACACACATTCTTTTTCATTATTATATCAGGTCCTTATGGCTGCAGATTTTTTTCATGACGGTGATGAAACTGATACTGTTGATACTTTTGATACGACAGGAAACCGTCACATCGTCTCGCCGCCCGAACCGTGGAGTTTCAGAGCAGAAGTGTTTGTCTTTGTCGTCTGTAGATCGTTTTGTCTTGTTATTCGTATCTCACCTGCTGAAACGCTGCGTTCGCTCCCGGTTTAATCGTGTTCGTGTGTGTCTCAGCCTCACCTGGCGGCCGATAACCTGGAGCAGATCAGAGACGAGCAGAACAACAACCTGCTGCACCTGTCGGCGTCGCAGGGTCACAGCGAGTGTCTGCAGCACCTGACGTCTCTGATGGGAGAAGACGGACTGAACGAACGCAACCGAGACCAGCTCACCCCCGCCGGGCTCGCCGTCAAGGTGCTCCTGTCTGCTCCTGCCTGCTCCTGTCTGCTCCTGTCTGCTCCTGTCTGCTCCTGTCTGCTCCTGTCTGTTTCTCTGCTCCTGTCTGCTCCTGTCTCTTTCTCTGCTCCTGTCTGCTCCTGTCTGCTTCCTGTCTGCTCCTGCTCCTGTCTGTTTCTCTGCTCCTGTCTGCTCCTCTGCTCCTGTCTGCTCCTGTCTGCTCCTGTCTGCTCCTGTCTGCTCCTGTCTGCTCCTGCTTCTTTCTCTGCTCCTGTCTGCTCCTGTCTGCTCCTGCTCCTGTCTTGTTTCTCTGCTCCTGTCTGCTCCTCTGCTCCTGTCTGCTCCTGTCTGCTCCTGTCTGTTTCTCTGCTCCTGTCTGCTCCTGTCTGCTCCTGCTCTGTCTGCTCCTGTCTGCTCCTGTCTGCTCCTGTCTGCTCCTGTCTGCTCCTGTCTCCTGTCTCTGTCTGCTCCTGTCTGCTCCTGTCTGCTCCTGTCTGCTCTGCTCCTGTCTGTTTCTCTCCTGTCTTGCTCCTGCCTGCTCCTGTCTGCTCCTGTCTGTTTCTCTGCTCCTGTCTGCTCCTGTCTGCTCCTGTCTGTTTCTCTGCTCCTGTCTGCTCCTGTCTGCTCCTGTCTGTTTCTCTGCTCCTGTCTGCTCCTGTCTGCTCCTCTGCTCCTGTCTGGTCCTGTCTGTTTCTCTGCTCCTGTCTGCTCCTGTCTGCTCCTGTCTCTTTCTCTGCTCCTGTCTGGTCCTGTCTGTTTCTCTGCTCCTGTCTGCTCCTGTCTCTTTCTCTGCTCCTGTCTGCTCCTGTCTGCTCCTGTCTGGCTCCTGTCTGCTCCTGTCTGCTCCTGTCTGTTTCTCTGCTCCTGTCTGCTCCTGTCTCTTTCTCTGCTCCTGTCTGCTCCTGTCTGCTCCTGTCTGCTCCTGCTCCTGTCTGCTCTTCTGTCTGCTCCTGTCTGTCTGCTCCTCCTGTCTGTCTGCTCCTGTCTGCTCCTGTCTGCTGCTCCCTGCTCCTGCTCCTGTCTGCTCCTGTCTCTCTCTGCTCCTGTCTGCTCCTGTCTGCTCCTGCTCCTGTCTGCTGCTCCTGTCTGCTCCTGTCTGTCTGCTCCTGCCTGCTCCTGTCTGCTCCTGTCTGCTCCTGCTCTGTTTCTCTGCTCCTGTCTGCTCCTGCTCCTGCTCCTGCTTCCTGTCTCTCTGCTCCTGCTCCTGCTCCTGTCTGCTCTGCTCCTGCTCTGCTCCTGTCTGCTCCTGTCTGCTCCTGTCTGCTCCTGTCTGCTCCTGTCTGCTCCTGTCTCTCTGCTGCTCCTGTCTGCTCCTGTCTGCTCCTGTCTGCTCCTGTCTGCTTCCTGTCTGTTTCTCTGCTCCTCTGCTCCTGTCTGCTCTGCTCTGTCTGCTCCTGTCTGCTCCTGTCTGCTCCTGTCTGTTTCTCTGCTCCTGTCTGCTCCTGTCTGCTCCTGTCTGCTCCTGTCTGTCTGTCTCTGCTCTGTCTGCTCTGTCTGTCTGCTCCTGTCTGCTCCTGTCTGCTCCTTTCTCTGCTCCTGTCTGCTCCTGTCTGCTCCTGTCTGCTCCTGCTCCTGTCTGGTCCTGTCTTTCTCTGCTCCTGTCTGCTCCCTGCTCTGCTCTCTGCTCCTGTCTGGTCCTGTCTGTTTCTCTGCTCCTGTCTGCTCCTGTCTCTTTCTCTGCTCCTGTCTGCTCCTGTCTGCTCCTGTCTGCTCCTGTCTGCTCCTGTCTGCTCCTGTCTCTTTCTCTGCTCCTGTCTGCTCCTGTCTGCTCCTGTCTCTTTCTCTGCTCCTGTCTCTGCTCCTGTCTGCTCCTGTCTGCTCCTGTCTGTGTAAATAACAGGAAGTTTAGTCTGCCGTGTCAGAGGAAAAGCTCTGATCCGATTGGCTGCCAAACAGGAAGTGTGGAGCTGCAGATAAAACATAAACGAGTCTCAAAGTTTTTACACAAAATTCCACCTCAGACGGAAAATATCAAAACCAGGACTAAACCAGGACCTAAACCAGGACTAAACCAGGACTAAACCAGGACTAGACCAGGACTAAACCAGGACTAAACCAGGACTAAACCAGGACCAAACCAGGACTAAACCAGGACTAAACCAGGACCAAACCAGGACTAAACCAGGACTAAACCAGGACCAAACCAGGACTAAACCAGGACTAAACCAGGACTAAACCAGGACTAAACCAGGACCTAAACCAGGACTAAACCAGGACCAAACCAGGACAAACCAGGACTAAACCAGGACCAAACCAGGACTAAACCAGGACCAAACCAGGACTAAACCAGGACTAAACCAGGACTAAACCAGGACCAAAACCAGGACTAAACCAGGACTAAACCAGGACTAAAACCAGGACTAAACCAGGACTAAACCAGGACTAAACCAGGACTAAACCAGGACCAAACCAGGACTAAACCAGGACTAAACCAGGACTAAACCAGGACTAAACCAGGACTAAACCAGGACTAAACCAGGACCAAACCAGGACTAAACCAGGACTAAACTAGGACTAGATCAGGACTAAACTCAGGACTAAACCAGGACTAAACCAGGACTAGATCAGGACTAGATTAGGACTAGATCAGGACTAAACCAGGACCAAACCAGGACTAAACCAGGACTAGATCAGGACTAGATCAGGACTAAACCAGGACTAAACCAGGACTAGATCAGGACTAAACCAGGACTAAACCAGGACTAAACCAGGACTAGATCAGGACTAAACCAGGACTAGATCAGGACTAAACCAGGACTAAACCAGGACTAAACCAGGACTAGATCAGGACTAAACCAGGACTAGATCAGGACTAAACCAGGACTAAACCAGGACTAAACCAGGACTAAACCAGGACTAAACCAGGACTAAATCCACTTCATTTCTACAGCACATTTTATAAACATAACAGTTTCCAAATTGCTGCACAAACAAATTAATAAAAAAACAAAACTAAACTAAACCCAGAGCCTCAGCGCGTAGAAACAGAGTCTAAAGAAAGTCTCAACCCTAAACCAGGTCTAAACCAGGTCTAAACCAGGTCTCCCAGGTCTAAACCAGGTCTGTCCCAGGTCTAAACCAGGTCTGTCCCAGGTCTAAACCAGGTCTGTCCAGGTCTAAACCAGGTCTGTCCCAGGTCTAAACCAGGTCTGTCTCAGGTCTAAACCAGGTCTGTCCCAGGTCTAAACCAGGTCTGTCTCGGGTCTGTCTCAGGTCTGTCTCAGGTCTGTCCGGGTCTGTCTCGGGTCTGTCTCGGGGTCTCAGGTCTGTCTCGGGTCTGTCTCAGGTCTGTCTCAGTCTGTCTCAGGTCTGTCTCAGGTCTGTCTGTCTGTCTGGGTCTGTCTCAGGTCTGTCGTCTCGGGTCTGTCTCAGGTCTGTCTCAGGTCTGTCTCAGGTCTGTCTCAGGTCTGTCCCGGGTCTGTCTCAGGGGTCTGTCTCAGGTCTGTCTCAGGTCTGTCTCAGGTCTGTCTCGGGTCTGTCTCAGGTCTGTCTCAGGTCTGTCTCAGGTCTGTCCCGGGTCTGTCTCAGGTCTGTCTCAGGTCTGTCTCAGGTCTGTCCTGGGTCTGTCTCAGGTCTGTCTCAGGTCTGTCTCAGGTCTGTCTCAGGTCTGTCTCAGGTCTGTCTCGGGTCTGTCTCAGGTCTGTCTCAGTCTGTCTCGGGTCTGTCTCGGGTCTGTCTCAGGTCTGTCTCAGGTCTGTCCTGGGTCTGTCTCAGGTCTGTCTCAGGTCTGTCTCAGGTCTGTCCCGGGTCTGTCTCAGGTCTGTCTCAGTCTGTCTGTCTCAGGTCTGTCCCCGGGTCTGTCTGTCTCAGGTCTGTCTCAGGTCTGTCTCAGGTCTGTCCCGGGTCTGTCTCAGGTCTGTCTCAGGTCTGTCCCGGGTCTGTCTCAGGTCTGTCTCAGGTCTGTCTCAGGTCTGTCTCAGGTCTGTCTCAGGTCTGTCTCAGGTCTGTCTCAGGTTCTGTCTCAGGTCTGTCTCAGGTCTGTCCCTGTTCTAACGTGTGTGTGTGTGTGTGTGTGTGTGTGTGTGTGTGTGTGTGTGTGTGTGTTTCAGAACGGGCATCTGGAGTGTGTTCGTTGGATGGTGAGTGAAACTGAAGCCATCGCAGAACTGAGCTGCACCAGAGAATTCCCCAGCCTCATCCACTACGCCGCCCAGTACGGACAGGTGAGAGTATATAAATATATATAAATATATATAAATGTATATAATCCACTACGCCGCCCAGTACGGACAGGTGAGAGTATATAAATATATATAAATGTAATATATAAATATATATAATCCACTACGCCGCCCAGTACGGACAGGTGAGAGTATATAAATATATATAAATATATATAATATATATAAATATATATAATCCACTACGCCGCCCAGTACGGACAGGTGAGAGTATATAAATATATATAAATATATATAATATATATAAATATATATAATCCACTACGCCGCCCAGTACGGACAGGTGAGAGTATATAATATATATAAATAGTATATAAATATATATAAATATATATATGAATATATATAATCCACTACGCCGCCCAGTACGGACAGGTGAGAGTATATAAATATATATAAATATATATAATCCACTACGCCGCCCAGTACGGACAGGTGAGAGTATATAATATATATATAAATATATATAAATATATATAATCCACTACGCCGCCCAGTACGGACAGGTGAGAGTATATAAATATATATATAAATGTATATAAAATATATATATAATCCACTACGCCGCCCAGTACGGACAGGTGAGAGTATATAAATATATATAAATATATATAAATATATATAATCCACTACGCCGCCCAGTACGGACAGGTGAGAGTATATAAATATATATAAATATATATAAATGTATATAAAATATATATAAATATATATAATCCACTACGCCGCCCAGTACGGACAGGTGAGAGTATATAAATATATATAAATATATATAATATATATAAATATATATAAATATATATAATCCACTACGCCGCCCAGTACGGACAGTGAGAGTATATAAATATATATAAATATATATAAATATATATATATAATATATATAATCCACTACGCCGCCCAGTACGGACAGGTGAGAGTATATAAATATATATAAATATATATAAATGTATATAAATATATATAAATATATATAATCCACTACGCCGCCCAGTACGGACAGGTGAGAGTATATAAATATATATAAATATATATAAATGTATATATAAATATATATAAATATATATAATCCACTACGCCGCCCAGTACGGACAGGTGAGAGTATATAAATATATATAAATATATATAAATATATATAAATGTATATAAATATATATAAATAAATATAATCCACTACGCCGCCCAGTACGGACAGGTGAGAGTATATAAATATATATAAATATATATAAATATATATAATCCACTACGCCGCCCAGTACGGACAGGTGAGAGTATATAAATATATATAAATATATATAAATGTATATAAATATATATAATCCACTACGCCGCCCAGTACGGACAGGTGAGAGTATATAAATATATATAAATATATATAAATGTATATAAATATATATAAATATATATAATCCACTACGCCGCTCAGTACGGACAGGTGAGAGTATATAAATATATATAAATATATATAAATATATATAAATGTATATAAATAATAAATAAATAAATATCCACTACGCCGCCCAGTACGGACAGGTGAGAGTATATAAATATATATAAATATATATAAATATATATAAATATATATAATCCACTACGCCGCCCAGTACGGACAGGTGAGAGTATATAAATATTTACAGTATATATACCCCTGACCGTCTGTAGGAGACAGGACAGGAGCATCCACACGTGTGTATATATGTGTATATATGGATATATGTGTGTGTGTATATACACATATATATATATATATGTTTGTATATCACGTGTTTGTGTTGCAGGAGAAAGTTCTTCTGTGGCTGTTGCAGTTTATGCAGGAACAGGCCATTTCTCTGGACGAAGCCGATCTCCACGGAAACACAGCAGTGCACACGGCCGCACAACACGGACACCTCACCTGTATACAGGTAAACCAGGACTACACCAGGTATAAAACAGGTCTAAACCAGGACTGAACCAAGACTACACCAGGACTAAACCAGGACTAAACCAGGACTAAACCGTGTTAAACTCAGTCTGATCATTCTTGTGTTTGTGTGTGTTTTTGTGTGTGTTTGTGTGTTTGTGTGTTTGTGTGTGTTTTGTGTGTGTGTTTGTGTGTGTTTGTGTGTTTGTGTTCAGACCCTGGTGGAGTACGGCTCAAACGTGACGGTGTTGAACCAGCAGGGGGAGCGAGCGTCTCAGTGCGCAGAGAGACACGGACACACTTCCTGCGCTCGGTACCTGGTCGTCGTGGAAACCTGCATGAGTCTGGCCTCACAGGTGGTCAAGCTCACCAAGCAGCTGAGCGAGTGAGTCCGACACTACAACTCCCACAATCCTCTGCTCCCATCTGCCCTAGTCTGGTTTATACTGAGACACTACAACTCCCACAATCCTCTGCTCTGATGTAGTTTCCTCATCACACTCAGACACACTGCAGTTGTGTTTTGTTTTATTCACATGTTTAACACACAAACCCAAACATTTAGAATCCTGAGTTCTTCTCTCAAACTGAAAACACCCTGTCCCACCCTGTGATGTCATCATGTGGCGATACAGGAAGTGCTCCACTGTGTTTTTAAACTCCGCACACCTTCACTAGAGTCACCTGGATCATTTCCGTCGTGGAGTTTCTTCACCGATCTCGACTGAACTAACAAACACACAACCCCACAGAGACACTAGAGGGCAGTGTTGTACAGACGTGACCTCACACTCTGACGTTTGATCTCACATGTAACAGAACATCCATCCATGTTCTTCTTCTTCTCTGGGGTCGGGTCTCGGGGGCATCAGTCTGAGCCGGGACTCCCAGACTTCCTTCACCCCAGACACTTCCTCCAGCTCCTCCAGAGGGACCTGAGGTGTTCCCAGTCCAGTCCAGAGTCATAGTCCCTCCAGTGTGTCCTGGGTCTTCTCCTCCTCCTGGTGGAACATGAACACCTCCTGAGGAACACGTCCAGGAGACAACAGAACAACACAACAGAATTAATAATCAAAACACACCTGTCACACACACACACATGCACACATACACACAGACACACACACACAGACACACACACACACAGACACACGCACACAGACACACACACACACACACACACACAGACACACATACACACAGACACACACACACAGACACACAGACACACACACACACACACACACACACGTGTGTCATGAATGATTCTTTATTGATTATTATTTCTGATGTGTTGTTCTGAAGTGTGAGATCAAACCTCACAGTCTGAGGTCATGTTTGTACAACACTGCCCTCTAGTGTCTCTGTGGGTTTGTGCGTCTGTGTTTGTGGATTTCTCAAAAATACATCACAGAAGAAATCTGTGATTTTAAATCTGTGATTTTAAATCTGTGATTTTAAATCTGTGATTTTAAATCTGTGATTTTAAATCTGTGATGTGTAACTGTTGATCCACAAACGAAACACAATTTTCAGTTTTACAAATGTTTTTTTTTTCTTTTTGCAAATGAAAACAGATATTGTGACAAATCCACATCTATTTGGAAAAACCAAAACACAAGTTACAGATATTAACATTTTCATTTGTGGATCAAACACATGAACAAACCCAAGACTGTTGATCAAACTCACAACACAAACGTAACTCCACTGTGAAGACACACGTGTGGATACAGCTGTAACTGTTTGAGTCCTGATCCTGGTTTAGTCCTGGTCCAGTCCTGTTTTAGTCCTGGTCCTGGTTCAGTCTGAGGTTGGTGGTGTTGTTCTGCAGACAGGCCGTGGAGAGGATTTCTCTACAGAAGCAGCTCCAGAGACTCATGGACCCAAACAAGACGGAGAGCTCCCCCTGCAGGTCTCCAGGGTCAGTCACACTCACCACACACACTCAATACTAATACTACAAATACTACAAATACTACAAGTACTACTAATACTGCTGACACTGCAAAACCACACATGCTACTTCTACTTCTACTACAAATATTCTTCTGTGAGTACATTTGTCAAACATGAATGACCCACATGTGCCACCCTGGTTTAATCCTGCTGTAGTCCTGGTTTAGTCCTGCTGTAGTCCAGGTTTAGTCCTGCTGTAGTCCTGGTTTAGTCCTGCTGTAGTCCTGGTTTTGCTTAGTCCTGGTTTAGTCCTGCTGTAGTCCTGGTTTAGTCCTGCTGTAGTCCTGGTTTAGTCCTGCTGTAGTCCTGGTTTAGTCCTGCTGTAGTCCTGGTTTAGTCCTGCTGTAGTCCTGGTTTAGTCCTGCTGTAGTCCTGGTTTAGTCCTGCTGTAGTCCTGGTTTAGTCCTGCTGTAGTCCTGGTTTAGTCCTGCTGTAGTCCTGGTTTAATCCTGCTGTAGTCCAGGTTTAGTCCTGCTGTAGTCCAGGTTTAGTCCTGCTGTAGTCCTCTGGTTGCCCCTGATGCCCTCCCTCTCTCCCTCTCTGGACTCCAGTTCCCATCATGCCTCGGGGGAGTCGTGGCCGGAGCTTCTGCTGACGGCCGAGGTGAATCCCGGAGACGGAGCGTGGACGGTGAGACAGCTCCAGAGCAGAGACCCGTGTGAGGCGCCGTGTCCCAGAGACCGACTCCCCGCGGCGGGAACGACGAGCCGCGACGCCCCCGGCCCCCCCGGCCCCCCGGCCCCCCCGGAGCCCCCGGAGCCCCCGGAGCCCCCCGCAGGAGAGAACTCAAACTGCAACGATTCAAAAACCTCAACCACAGAACCATGAGCGAGTCCGACACCGAGACCACGACGGAGCAGAGCAACGGCACCTGTGAGTCTGGATTACACACCGGGGTCAGACCGGGGTCAGACCGGGTTTAGGCCGAGGTTAGATCATCTTTAGGTTGGGTTTTGGCTGGGGTTAGAGCACGTTTAGATCGGGGTTAGACCACGTTTAGACCACGTTTAGACCACGTTTAGACCACATTTAGGCAGAGGTTAAACCGTCCTTAGGTCGGGTTTTGGCTGAGTTTAGACCGCGTTTAGACCGGGGTTAGACCAGGTTTAGACCACATTTAGACTGGGTTTAGACCATGTTTAGGCCTGGGTTAGACTGCGTTTAGAACGGGTTTAGTTTTGATTTAGTCCTGGTTCATTACAGGTTTAGTTTTAGTTTAGTTCTGGTTTAGTTTTAGTTTAGTCCTCGGTTGGACCTGGTTAAGTCTTAGTTTAGAACAGGTTTAGACCTGGCTGAGTCCTGGTCTAAACTGGTTTTAGATCTGGTTTAGATCTTGTCTAAACTCCAGGATGAGCAGGATCTTGTTCTTTGTGACTCTCACTCTGCGTCTCGTTTCAGACGGGCTTCAGTCTGACGAGGTGAAACCCGCCTGTGGTCTGCGCCCGTCGCACCTGCCGCTGTCGTCCGACGAGTCCGTCCCCGACCACCTGCACCTCATGATGAAGAAACACCTGCCCCACTCGTCCTCCATCTCCTCCTCCCTCTCCTCCTCCTCGTCTTCCTCGGAGCAGCGTAAAGCCGCGTTTTCCATCCGAGAATCCAAAAGTCTGGAAAACTACGGCGGTTACTCGCTCCAGGACCACCCGCCCCACGAACCCGCCGCCGCCGAGGACCCCAACAAGGCCGCCACCAGCCCCAAGAGCGCCCTGAAGTCCCCGTCCTCCCGCCGGAAAACCGCCCCCAACCTCAAACTCCGAGTGACGTTTGATGAGCAGATGATCCACAAAAACAGCAGCGGCGCCGCCGCGAGCCAGCAGGGGGCGGAGCCACGGCCGCAGGAGGCGGAGCCCAGGACGCAGCACAAGAGGTCCTTCGGAACGTTCAGGTCCATCATGGGAACGCTGAGCGGGAACGCCAACCACAGCAATAACAACAACAGCGGCGGGACGGCAGCCAATCAGAGCGCGGCGAGCAGGAAGGGAGGCAGTCCAGGAGGGGGCGCTAGAGGCAAGAGCCGCAGCAGCAACGTTTAAACGAAACAAAGTGGGAAATCTGAAGGGTTTAAAATACAGTTTCATTTACAGACACGACACCTGATTTATTCTCAAACATTTAGTTCATTATAAAGAGTCAAAGACTTGAGGCCTTTTCATATTTCACAACAACAGAAGAACTTTGTTCTTCTTCTGGAGGTGATAAAGTTCTGCTCAGCTGAAGAGTCCAGAACAAACCACAAGAACAACAGGATCTGGACCAACAAAAGGACCAACCTCATTTTGTTTGTCCAGATCTGGGAGCAACAACAAAGTTCTGATGAAATGTGACTGGGCCTTTACTCCTGATTCTCCAACAGTAAAACATCTTCATGTTCAGAGCTGCTGGTGCCACAGATCTGTGCAGGAGAAACACGTTCGACTCAGACGGACAATCAGGACTGTGTCTTTAAGTCTCGACATTTCACATTTTACAGATTAAAAGTTTGTTAAAAGTCTCAGGTCACAAATCAGGACTTTTGTGAAAGAGTCTGGACGTGTGGCCTCCCGACCAGCAGAGGGCGACCTGCTCCAAGTTTATTTATGTGGATTTAAAATGTGAAATATCACGAACAGGTTTTTATGACTCAACTCAGTCGTCCCCGAAACAAAGGAGAAATTCAATTTATCAACTGGACAAACGAGAAGAACAGACCTGAGCCACAGAAAAGAAACAGTTTGAGAGGAAAGAGAATCGTTCTTTAAACATCTATAAACAAACAACAGTCAGGTCCAGGTCAGGTCCAGAGGAGTGAAGGATTCTTCTCCAAACTCAGGACAGACGAACAGGCCAAACTGTAAACAGGAGTGTGTGAGTGTGAGTGTGAGTGTAGCGCCCCCTGCAGGCAGATAGACGTCAGTGACACCAGAGTCTGAACAGAAGTGAAGCAGCAGTTTGACGAGCTGAGGAACGTTGTTGTTCTTGTACCTGAGCCTCTTGTGTTTAGACAAAGTGTGAACAGTTTTCCTGACGCATGTTCCTCTTCAACAAATCCAAATACTCCATGAAATGACTTTTATTTTCCACACGTTCCATTTAAGACACAAAAGACCAAACCTCCAAACTCTGCAGCACCACACGCTCCTGAACCTCCTGAACCTCCTGAACCTCCTGATCCTCCTGATCCTCCTGATCCTCCTGAACCTCCTGAACCTCCTGAACCTCCTGATCCTCCTGAACCTCCTGAATCCTCCTGATCCTCCTGATCCTCCTGAACCTCCTGATCCTCCTGAACCTCCTGAACCTCCTGATCCTCCTGATCCTCCTGAACCTCCTGATCCTCCTGATCCTCCTGATCCTCCTGAATCCTCCTCCTGAACCTCCTGACCTCCTCCTGAACCTCCTGACCTCCTGAACCTCCTGAACCTCCTGATCCTCCTGATCCTCCTGAACCTCCTGAACCTCCTGACCTCCTGACCTCCTGATCCTCCTGATCCTCCTGAACCTCCTGATCCTCCTGATCCTCCTGATCCTCCTGAACCTCCTGAACCTCCTGATCCTCCTGATCCTCCTGATCCTCCTGATCCTCCTGATCCTCCTGATCCTCCTGAACCTCCTGAACCTCCTGACCTCCTGATCCTCCTGATCCTCCTGAACCTCCTGATCCTCCTGATCCTCCTGAACCTCCTGATCCTCCTGATCCTCCTGAACCTCCTGATCCTCCTGAACCTCCTGAACCTCCTGATCCTCCTGATCCTCCTGAACCTCCTGAACCTCCTGAACCTCCTGAACCTCCTCATCCTGATCTTCTGAAACATCATTTTCAACCAAAATAAACGTTTGTCCAGTTGACAGATGAATTTCTCCTTTGTCACGTCCAAAAGTGTTTTTAAAAAAACCAAAAACAAACACAAAGAACTGAAGCTTTAAACAGTAAAACCACAACAACTCAAGTCACAAGGAGCTTCAAGAAACACACAAACACACACACACACACACACACACACACACACACACACACACACAAACACACACACAAACACACACACACACACACACACAACAAACACACACATACACACACACACACACACACACACACACACACACACACACACACACACACACACACACACACACACACACACACACACACACACACACACACACACACACACACACAACACACAAACACACACACGTACACACACATTTTATTTTGACGAGCAGTGCTATAATATTGTGCTTTTGTTTTGGCGAGTCTGAAGTGCCTAAAACTGTCGATGCACAAACTCCACAAACTCCCGTCTGTGTGTGTGTGTGTGTGTGTGTGTCTGTGTGTGTGTGTGTGTGTGTGTGTGTGTGTCTGTGTCTTTGTGTGTGTGTGTGTGTGTGTGTGTGTGTGTCTGTGTGTGTGTAAACATATATATTTGTTTGAACAGAAACTTTGTGTTTGTGAAAAGTCCAGCAAAGACTTTCCATCATTTTACAGTTAAGAATAAAGAGCAGGGGAGGGCATCTGACACAATCTGACACACGGGGGCAGGAGGGTGGGAGGGCATCTGACACAAACAAAAAATCCTTGCTGGACTCCACCTGATTCTGAATCCTGGTATTTATGTTCCTGCACACGTTTGTTATTCTGAGTTTGTGGTTACTCACGTGCACGCTCCCGGCTCACGTGCACGCTCCCGGCTCACGTGCACGCTCCCGGCTCACGTGCACGCTCCCGGCTCACGTGCACGCTCCCGGCTCTCGTGCACGCTCCCGGCTCTCGTGCACGCTCCCTGTTTAAACCACTGTGTAAATAGCGAGCGCAGTATTTAAGGTTTTGTACCGTTTTTTTATCTATGCAGTTTTGTTGTAACGTAAAAATGACGAAGGGTTCCACGTGTGAACCTCTGAGAACCTCTGAGAACCTCTGAGGACCTCTGAGAACCTCTGAGGACCTCTGAGAACCTCTGAGAACTTCTGAGAACTTCTGAGGACCTTTGAGATTCTGTGAAAAAACAGAATAAAGACTTTTTTATGCAGAAACTCGACTCTGAACTGTTTATTTGACATTTAAAACAGGAGCAGGTCTAAAGAAGAAAAATGTGTTCAAGGAGAAGGTCAGAGGAGGAGGAGAGGGTCAGAGGAGGAGGAGAGGTCAGAGGAGGAGGAGGAGAGGAGGAGAGGGTCAGAGGAGGAGAGGGTCAGAGGAGGAGGAGAAGGTCAGAGGAGGAGGAGAGGGTCAGAGGAGGAGGAGAGGGTCAGAGGAGGAGGAGAGGGTCAGAGGAGGAGAGGGTCAGAGGAGGAGGAGAGGGTCAGAGAGGTGAGGAGAAGGTCAGAGAGGAGGAGAGGAGAGGAGGAGAGGGTCAGAGGAGGAGGAGGAGGAGAGGGTCAGAGGAGGAGGAGAGGGTCAGAGGAGGAGGGTCAGAGGAGAGGAGGAGGAGAGGGTCAGAGGTTGGTTTGTATTTGAGGATTTGTGAAACCTTTGGTCCGTGTCTCGTTGGGTCGGTGTTTCTTGGTGTTTCTTCGTTTGCTTCGTCGTCGTCGTTATTGATGAGGATCCATATTTGTCTCATAAAGCGGTGGTGGTCCTGGTCCGGGGAGACTCGGGGCCGGTCTGCGGGGCCCCTCTCCGGGGCCCCTCTCCGGGTCTTTAGAGTCTGGACTAATGTGATCCGTGTCGATCCGCGTCGATCCCGCAGCGAGTGAAAAATCTGCGCTCAGATCAGACGCACGAAGTCGTTTGTTAAAGAAACGAGGAGCTCGTTTAAAAAGAACATGAACCAAATATATACAGAGTAAAGAAAATATACAACAAATATATACAATATATATAAATAATATATACAACAAATATATACAACAAATATATACAACAAATATATACAATAAATATATACAACAAATATATACAACAAATATATACAATAAATATATACAACAAATATATACAATAAATATATACAACAAATATATACAACAAATATATACAACAAATATATACAACAAATATATACAACAAATATATACAACAAATATATAAATATATACAACAATAAATATATACAATACAACAAATATATACATACAAATATATACAACAAATATATACATATAAATATATACAACAAAAATATATACAAATATATACAAATATATACAACAAATATATACAATATATACATATATATATACAATAATAATATATACAACAAATATATACAACAAATATATACAAATATAACAAATATATACAATAAATATATACAATAAATATATACAACAAATATATACAACAAATATATACAATAAATATATACAATAAATATAAATATATACATTAAATATAAATATATACACTCCCCCTCGAACTGCCGCCGTACTGTGGTCGGGGAGTTTCGTACCCCAATGATCCTAGGAGCCGTGTGGCTCGGGGCATCACGTCTCTGGTCCCGTGGCAACAGGTCCTTGGAGTCGGGACTAAGAGCAGGTCACAGAATCCAAACTAACAGTTTAAAATCGAGGACGGTTACGTCGCTCGGTACAGCGCAGCCGGGGCCCCACCCTGGAGCCAGGCCTGGGGTTGGGGCTCGAATGCGAGCGCCTGGTGGCTCACGGGGCCCGGCCGGGCTCAGCCCGAAAGGATGACGTGGGTCCACCCTCCTGTGGGTTCACCACCCGCAGAGGGGTTCATGGGGGTCGGGTGCACAGAGGACCGGGCGGCGGTCGGGGACTGGACGTGTCCCTCGGGAGGTGTTCATGTCCCACCGGGAGGAGACCCAGGACACACTGGAGGGACGATGTCTCTGGACTGGCCTGGGAACGTCTCGGGATTCCCCTGGAAGAGTTGGAGGACGTGTGTGTGGGGAGGGAAGTCTGGGAGTCCCTCCTCTCCGACCCCGGAGAAGAAGAAGAAAATGGATGGATAAAAATATACAGTATAAATAATATACACACTAAATATAAATATATATAATATGAAATATAAATATGTTCTTCTTCTTCTCTGGGGTCGGGTCTCGGGGGCATCAGTCTGAACAGAGACTCCCAGACTTCCCTCACCCCAGACACTTCCTCCAGCTCCTCCAGGAGGACCTGAGGTCCTGGTCTTCCTCAGGCCTCCTCCTCCTGAGGAAGTTTTTATTTCTAAAGTGTTTTTCACAAACATTTTGTCACAAAGACGTTTTACAGATTCATTCTTCTTTTACTCCAGACCTGGTGGTGGTAAAATACTACAGTAGCCACAGCTGCCCTGGGGCAGACTGACTGAAGTGAGGCTGCAAGTCTGCACCACTGGTCTCTCCAACCACCATCACACACACACACACACACACACACACACACACACACACACACATTCACACTCGGCACCGTGGGTGAAGTGTCTTGCCTAAGGACACAACAACTGTTTTTTTCTTTGTTTGTTTGTTCTGGTGCCTCCTGATGTTCCCAGTGTCTCCATCCAAGTCCAGACCCAGACCCAGACCCAGACCCAGACCAGACAGACCAGACCAGACCCAGACCCAGACCAGACCCAGACCAGACCCAGACCAGACCCAGACCCCCAGACCCAGACCCAGACCAGACCAGACCCAGACCAGACCCAGACCCAGACCCAGACCCAGACCCAGACCAGACCAGACCAGACCCAGACCCAGACCAGACCCAGACCCAGACAGACCAGACCCAGACCAGACCCAGACCCAGACCCAGACCAGACCAGACCCAGACCAGACCCAGACCCAGACCCAGACCCAGACCCAGACCCAGACCCAGACCAGACCAGACCCAGACCAGACCAGACCAGACCCAGACCAGACCCAGACCCAGACCAGATCTGACAGGATCAGATTTTAACAAACCGTTGTGGTGTTCGTGTCTCGTTGGGACATGCAGCATTTGACCCGTCGGTACCGTCAGCTGCTTCAGGAGTCACACGAGCCGACAAGACCCGACAGGACTCCTCCTTCACCCTGACGGTATCACTTACTTCCAGTGCGGGATTACCGCCGCAACAGGCACCACAGACCTGACGCCCACAGCAGCTGCACCGACAATAGAGGCGAGAACAAAGCCACTCAGACTCCATGTCTCCAGTCTCCCCCGGAATCTGGGAGAAGCTCCTGAAGGTGTGAGTTGAAGGTCCCTCTGACAGAGGCTCTGCCAGATGTTCCCAACAGACCCTCACTACACGCTTGGACCTGCCAGGTCTTTCCGGCTTCCTCCTCCTCCCGCGAACCAACTCACCACCAGGTGGAGCTGTACAGCTCTGCTCCTCTTCACCTGAGTGTCCAAGACACTCGGCCGGAGGTCACATGACACGACTACAAAGTCGATCATCGACCTCCGGCCGACAGCGTCCT